ATGTCTTCAATTGGAAGGGTGCGCTCCCCCAATGATACTTGTTTGTTTTGTCACAGAAGCATACAAACAAACATGGACAAACCACCCTCTCTCAAAAGTGGAAAACCCTGGAATTGGCAATGCGCCAAGCATCTGCGCAAAAAATAAACATAAATCGTAGACTGGACATGGCATCCCCCCTTAGCTAGTAAAGGACATTTATGATGGGCGAAATCGTTTGAGCCGTCGAACTCGTTGAAGATCTGATTCAAACCTGCATCTCACCATGTTCAAGCCGCTTGCGCGCCTTTTTGCCGCAAGGCGGGGAAACAATTGTCAGGGAACTCCATTAATAAGACTCGATCGTGGCAGAGCCAAGGAGAACCAAGCAAACTGCGTTCATGTCCTCTGATCAAGTCCTTTCAACGGCTTGGAGCAACCCTTTGCCCCTTGAGTGCTCTGTGCGAATTGCTCGAATGCAAATGACATGTCGTTCCAAGCCCAGGCTCGCCCTCAAACCCCTAAATATGCTTGCTTTCCTTTTGCTTTTTCACCTAGTGAAGGGGGGCCTTTCTCGGTATATGTCGGGGGTACCCTAAAGATGCTGGCTTTCCTTGTGGTTTCCCTTTAACCGAAGCCAAAAAGAGAGACCCGCGGCGTCTGTTTCTCCGAGGAGCAGCAGCGGGTCGAGCGGAAGCAGCTGGAGGCGTGCAACATAGCCCTGGGCAAGGCAAACATCGCTCACTCACTTCTTGAGTTCCGTTTGCGGACCTTAGTTACTTGGATCATTTTACAGTGGTAAACCAAAAGTTCAGACTTTCTGTGGCCCATCCACTCAATTGACACTGCTGGCTGTCACCCTATTCCAATTGGCCCTTCCATGGGTATGTGGACTTAAGACAAAGGCGATTCGAGTTTGGAGCTTCCAGGCTTCCTGCAGTCCGTTTGGACTAGGCCGTTCTGGTTGCTCGTTGGTACTGGAAACCAGCCAGATCAACTTGAAGCCCTCACCAGCCCAGACGGCAAGTGCAGCGTCCATCCAAGCCGTCCAAATCGTGACATCTTCTTCCTTGTTCGTCCACTGCCCGTCCAATCCAGAATGTAACAAAAATGAACGACTTTCGGATGTGAATGAAGGTAAAGGAATGGATTGGAAAGGAGGAGATACATGATGGGAAATGGCATGAAAGATAAAAACAATTTCCATCTAATCATCTCGTTTTCCTTTCTCATGTCCCTTCTGCATTCCTCACCCAACAAAGGAAAGGGTGAGGAGAAGGGAATAGGATGTTAACGTGGCCCATCATTTCCAAGATTTGGATCCTTAAAAGGAAGCCGTTAGGGACCGATTCCCTTGAGAAGCCCGTGGGCTGTTCGAAGAAGATTGCTTTGTGTTAGCGCATCTGGGTGAGGGGGGGGGGGGGTTAGAAGCTCCGCTGAGTAGGCATCGCCCACAGGAGCAAGGAACAGTAGACCTCCCCCGCAAAAGCAAAAAAAATATGCGTTTGGACAAATGCATTCTACGAATTGTCCATTTGTTTGTTGTTTCGGGACTCACAGAAAGCTTCTCCTCACTCGATGTCGGTTCTAAAGGGAGGAGACCCCCCTCAGAAGTGACCGGTGTTCTGTGGGTGTGCCTTTTTATTCCACCATTCCACCATTCCACCATTCCACCATCCAACATAGTCTTCAATGGTACTTGACAGCCGTATCTTAACTTTTCCCGACCAGGCTTGATAAGCAACAATCCCCTGCACCTATTCCAAGGAGGGACATTTTGGGGAAATACAGGGACCCCTCCGGTTTCTTTCGCAACACGAGGTCCGTTCTTCTATTTAAGTTGCAGAAGTGGTGAACCAGAATCTTCCAAGCGTTTGTTTGCCCCGAAATCCCCAAAAGGCGCTATGGGTACCATTTGATCACCACTGGAGAGTGCTTGCAAAACGCTAATGGCACACCCTTGAAGCGTCTCTGAAGCTCAATTAATACATAGGATTGTTTTAGGGAAACGCCCGAACCAGTTCCCTCTAAAATACAATGACACGCGCGCGGGGTGCAAAGAAGGCCAAAGGCCGCTGTTTGTCTTGGAATTGGTCTGTTCCCCAAACAAACCCTATGGCCTTACTAAGGCCAAGGGGATCTATCCAGGGGATGGGTGCTTGGGTTTTCATGAGGACTCAGCGTTCGAGATACCCTTTTCAGATGTAAAGGGCAACCCACCGGACCGTTGGCCGCCATTTTGGGGGTCCAAATTCCTATTCTGCTTTAGTTAGCAGTATGGTGTGTCTTGTTTTGGGGGCTCGGTACCCTTTGTGGGGTTGGTTTCTGCTTCTAGATCCGTATTTCGCTTTTTTGTTGCGTGGATCTCAGGCGCATTGTGCGGAGCTGCTGCGGCGCGTGGAAGCCTCCGAGGCGCGGGATCCAGGGCTGCCGGGAAGCCACAAAGAAATCTGGCGAAAATCGGGTGACCCCCCAAATTTGGGTTCTCAATTGTGTTGCAAAGGTGATCTGAGAGCTGGAGCTGCCAAAACAGCTCTTGTACTGAAAAGTTGCGATGTTCCAGTTGGAGCTGCCAAAATGCACTTCAACGCTTGAACTGAACATTTGCTCGCGTAGGCGTCCGCATAGGCACCTGGAAGCTGGCTTGTGCTCGCGTAGGCACCCGTTGCAGCGGCGTAGGCTTGCGGAGGCTTCTGCGTAGGCGTGCAAGTAGTGTATAGGCCCCGAACCACCAAACAAACACTGCTCAAATGTCTTGCCCTTTTACATGGAAAGGACCAGAATCTCTGCGGCCCAGATCCTGGTGGTGTACTTAGCATTTTGACGCATACCCGTGTCATGTCCGCAAGCAAGGAAGTCTTTGATGATATTTTTTGGTTCTGATTGTGTTTCGTGGGGGAAACTGCAAGAAGCACCGTTGTTTTTGGCGATCGTGCCAGGGTTTGGAAAGGATTGCGGTGAGCTGCACATGGTTCTGCTTCGAGCGATTCTGTGGCAAAACAAGCCAAAACCAATGATGTAGGTCCTACAGATGGCCGTGAAAAATGAGTTCTACTGCCAGTTGTGATACCCAGGCAGTCCCCTTTAAATGATTAAAGTAGTCCTGGGTTATTTTCTGCACCCATAAATGCAGGGTTGGCTGTGTCAGGCTACACCAACTGGCTTCGGCAAGCGTGTTTGCTTTTGTCGTTCTTTGCTTTTCTTTTGGGGTGGGGATGGTGGGGTAAGGGCTGCGAAAGGCTGTGTGTTCGCTTTGCCGCTGTTTTGTCTCTTTTTCTCGACATGCTGTTGGAAATCATGCAATACGTGAATTAGAGCAGCACACGAAGTGTTTCCTTTGGCGGTTCGAAGCTTTGGGACCGAAAGCAAATCTAGCTTCGCTGTTCTTGGCATGTTGATTTTTGTTGTATTTGTGGTGGGGACGCACGCCGCAAGTACTTGTCAAAACTTTCGGCACATTCTCGTTTGTCCAGAACATATGAATCTTGCCACCGCGGAAGCCGGAGAGCTTGTCAAGTGCACGGAGTACTGCTTCTGCTGCCAGCGAGCGGTCCGGTCAAACCCTGCAACAAGCTGGCAGATAAATCAACGACTTCATGGGGAGTTGGGATACGGGAATTTTCACTGTGGCAGAAAAAGCAGCGGCCCAGGTTGGCCGATTTCGGGAATTCTACATCCCGGCTTAGCAAAGAAAACGTGGGACACTGCAACCTTTCTGCCCGGATCCAAACATCGACGGGGCTTTGGGCGGTGTAAACAGCGCTTCGTCGAGTGAAAGGCTTCCTGGGTTCTAGTTTTGCAAACTGCTGCGAAAGCACCACCTTGGTGGGTTTTGGGCTGGTTGCAGGCAAACGTTAAGAAGCCACAAAACGAGCAGACTCGAAGTGGGCCCTTTCCAGGGAGGCCAACATGAGGTTGTCTAAACTATGGTGGGTTCAAGCATGTTCAAAGTTCAAAGGGTTTGGGGCAACTCTGGGTTTCCTTATTTTCGGGTTGGATGATTGATTGTCCATTTGGGGACATGGGAGTGACTCACCCAAGCCCAGTGTCAAGTGGGGACACCAGCTGAACATCGATGCTGATAATCTGTTTTGCGACGCGATGGAGTGTGGAAGAAACAAGCGGCAAGCCTTCGGGTTACACAGACATGCATCGATCATCAAGACACATCGAGCTTTCCTACACTCTTGTTGCCGTCCTTTCCCCATATTCTGGAATGTTTGCCTTTTTGCACTCATAGGGCACTCCTAAGACTGGTTGAACCACACGAGGCCATGAACTTTTGGGGAAACGCTCCAAAAATGGCTGCCCACCACAGGGAGAAGGTCAGATTCTTTGAGTTGCTCTCGTGAGATCGAGACTTCAAATGTATAAACGGATGAAAGCAAAACCAAAAGGTGGATAAAACGGTTGTCATGATTCTTTGGCTAAATCTGACAAGAGAGGGGTGGCGCAAGAAGGGACCACGTTAAACAAGCTATAATTCATTGCTCGTTACCAGTTTTGTGGCTTCATGTGAACGCTTCACTGGCCAGTTATCTTGAAAATCACCATTGTTCACGGCCTGGACCTCCAGATTTGTGCCTTTTTGTTTCATTTTGAGAGGGTTTCCGTTTAACATCCACAAAACATAAGGGCCCTGTCCCATCCACTGGAGTTCTGTTGTGGTTAACAGGTACAGCCTCAGTTTTGCTGTCAAGACTTTCCAGGCTGACTGTGATGTACCAACGTCAGGTAAGTAGGAACCATGGTTCGAAGGGGACCAACCCGAGTTACTCAGTCATAACCATGGTTATAACCTACTTACCTGACGTTGGTTGACCAGGTCTTTACGTAAGGCACCGTTTTTCGACGTCGCGTCTGACGTTGCATGACGCCTACATGTGACGTACCAACGTTTTTGGAAGCTGTTCGACTGGATAAGCATGGTTTTCTGAGTCGGTTCCCACTTTCTGTGATAGGAAACCTCCCTTGAAGTGGATAAGACACATGTTGAATCGACTTTCCATTGCCATCCCCAAAGTTGGCAACTATGTCGCATAAGGTGGGATCTCTTGTGGGATCTCTTGTGGGATCTCTTGTCGAACTATGTTGCATAAGGTTTGCTAAATATGCACCAGACTCAATCGTCTTTTCAGCTTTCTACTTTGACCTTTTGTTTTTCCTTTTTGGCCCGTTTTTGTGGCTACAAACGTTCGACCTTTTTTTTATCTGGATCCTTTGGGCTGCGACTTTGTTGAAGGGGCCCCAAAGTTGGAAGCGCTATGTTCCATTTGGCAGCGAGAACAGATACGCTCCGCAGGCGCACGCGGCGGAGGATACTGAGCCGGGCGCCCAGTCTGGGTCTTAGGCTCCGCAGTTCGCAGCGGGCTCGGGGTCTGCTTGGCTTTGTGGGGGGGCAAATGAGAGGTTGTCCATTTTGCCAGCAAGCAACGTGCAAAAGAGCGGGGGATCCCCACTCACCAGTCAGTTTGTTGTTTCGGGGCGAGGAAGTCATGTGGATTGTTTTGTGGGCTCATTCCCATCCCAGACTTTGAAGCCGGTTGAGCATTTGGTTTCTCTGGTTTCGAGGAGGTTCCAGATCAGCGAGGCTCCCAGTGCGCTCCTCTGTTGGTTATGGTTTGCTTTCAAGCTCAGCCAAAGAAAGGATGTCTATGTTTCCGTGTGAAACCGGACACGGCGCTGTGCTTTTTTAGTGGTCGTCTTGTAAAGCCATGCCAAAGGGGGGTTTCAGCTTGAAAGCCAGCTACCTGGAAAATACACAGAAGCAACCCCAAACAAGCGAAGTATTATTTTGTGGAATGCGTATTTGTGTGTTTGTGTGTTCGCGTTCGGGTTCCTCTGGAGAATCTGCGAATGGGTCCCTGACCGCGCCGGCAGAAAATAAGGCCAGGTGGTATCCCCAACAGCCGAAACCCTTCGGAAAACCCTTCCGAACCTCTCTGATTTCCTCGGAACCCAATCCAACAACCGCCCCAATCCAGCTGCTTCATAGAACCGGAACGATCTGGCCAATGGAGATACTGACGACTCCGGCAAAGAGCTTGCGTGGGCAGCTGCACATTCAGTAAATCAGTTATTGCTTTGGCCATAGCACGATTGACAAGAAACGTTGCAACTTGCCACCGCAATGACTCCATTGCAACAGGCATCTGATTTCATGTTGGTCAAATGACTCAGTTGTTCAATGCCGACCTTTTGACCTTTTGGTTTTCCCACGTTGGTTCATTTTGTAGTTCAAGGTTCCAATTGGTTAACCTTTTAGTTCCAGGTTCTTTGGGCAACTCAGATGATGGTGTGGTGTCGACATCTCTCATTTGTTTCTTTTTGTTTCTTTTTGCGGGAGATCCATGAACTCCATGTCCTTGGTTTTTGACCGAGTCGCCCCGCTAGACTCTTTGGATGCAAATGGGTCTGTCATTTGTGAGGCTATGCTGTTTGGGTCAGCTATCCTGTTTACGTCGTAAAGGGAAGCAAAAAAGACCACCGAACTCCATGTTGGGGTTTCCTCCTCCATTTTAAGACAGACTCAAATGGTTTTTCCATGCAACACCTCCAAAAAGCGGCCTTCTGCTCATGGAGCGGATCGCCAGGTTGCCACCAGAGTCGCCGGAAGGCGGATCGCCAGGTGAGCCGAAAAAAGTCGGAAGGTCACGGCCAGGTGTATGAAAATGTTGTTGTTTTTTGCCAATTTGGGCTGTCCTTCTTTTTTTCGGGGTCCCTTGTTTTGCGGTTTGGAAGGGGAAGCAAGCGAAAACCCGCCATTTTGGGGCGCAACAAAATACACTGTCGTAATCGAGTTGTCTCAAAATAAGGTGCCCCCAATGATGGTGGGGTTCCTGTTTGGGTTTCCTTTTGAACTACTCCAAGTTGTGTTGGGGAGTTCCCGCAACTAGGAGACCGCATTTCGCACATGCAAACAAGAACATACCATCACATTGCTTTTAGCTGGCAATTATCTTGTTTTGGCGGTTTAGATGATAGGGGTACTTCATCATCCATTTGGTTTCAAAAGGACTGGGTTCAAATCCCCAAATCAATCCAAAGCACCGAGAATAGTCTTGCTGGTGCTCAGTAAATGAGGAAGGGGGTCCCCTTAAAGGAAAACCACCAGTTGGATGGTATAATATATATATATAGGGTTCATTCCCTCATTCCCTACCTATCGCACCAGCACGGAGTTGCGGGGGTGGACACGAATTCACCGAACTCGTCAGGCACGCCACAAGGCTTGCAAGGCACCTCGCACACGCTCCCAGGCGGGGAGTCGGGAGTCGGGAGTCTGACCGAGCCATGTGAGCTTCGGAATCAGGAGCACTAGTAAGATGATCCTTACTCCCTGAGTCCCTGAACTTCTTTTTTTTAAACTTATTTTTATTTATTTAGGCTTAGACCAGTTTAGAAGGAACCAAAAAGCTCAGGATGGTACTTTTTCTTGTTGCCATTCACAGGATCTGGCGGATCTGGAGGACCCGACGAACCAGTGTTAAGCTGAATAAACTTAACTGGGGACCCCGCGAAGTATGGGTCTCCCAATTAGTAAGTTCTGAAACGACATCACAAATTGGTCCCACAGAGTGATTTTGGGGGGTTGTCCTAACCCCAAACCTTTTTGCCGGCGGACCTTACCACTCTTTGAAGTCGTTTGACAGGCATCATCTATGCCTTTTGTTTTCAGGCCTGTGGGCCCTAGTCAAAAGACATGGTTAGTTGGATCAGGTCATGGACTCTGTGCGAAGTGTTGACCCTTGAACCAAGGAAAGCCTGGTTCTCCGAAAAGGATTCAGGGGCCCTTGCTGTTCTTTTGGTTTCCCTTCAGATGGTTGATTTGGGCTTGTCTGTTTTTGAGGGTACCTGTTTTGGGGTGGTGTTCAAGGGAAACCTAAAGGAACATCACCATTTGTGGGGTTCCCCTAAAAAAGACACACACACACACACACGCATACGCATGTCCTTGTGTTTTGTTTTTTGCAACCATCTGCGAACAGGCCCCCAATTTGGCGAGAGTGGCACATAACTCATTCCTCAAATGCAACCCATGTAAAGCATAATTACCCAACGCGTGGCGCACTACAGGTTTGTTCCCTCCTTAAATATTTATGCAAGGGCGCGGGGCATGAGCGATGGTTGATATTGACAATCATGTTTCGTGTTGAGGTTCAGTTACCAAGCTTCAGTATCACCGGGATGCAAGCAATATGTATATATGTCCAAATAAGGGAATTCCAAAGATGGTCCTTGGAATGGTTTTGCTGGTTTTCAAGCTTTCTTTGCCATTTTAGCAGTATCTTCCAGCACCAAGGGCTGTCCATTTACCCCACACATCTGTCGAACCCAACCTGAAAGGCACTCCTTTCAGGTTCCATATGGCAACCCATGTTTTCGGATCGCCAACCCAAATGTCTCTTTTTGGTTGGGTTTCGGGGGAGGGCACTTCCGTGAAAAGATACATTGCATGTCCCAAGCTTATGTTGGTGAAGCCAGCACCACATTCTTTGCCAGTGGTGTGTGTGATTTTGGCATGAGGTAATTAGGACAGTGGACATCATTCAGGCTTGGGGATCATGTCCACTTTCGAGGGGTTCCAACTCTTCAACTTTCATAGCAGCTTGTTTAGGTTGTCATGTCGTGGATGTGTTGGGCAGGGTTAATACCATAAGACCTGTTGGTTTGCTGATCTACGGCTGGGGAGGAAACGGCGGTGTCCGATCCTTCCTTTTTGAGGTGGCTAACCGGGAATGTGTTCATGATAGACCGAGCCCCCATGCACCAAAATGGTTGCCACGTTTTGAACGATCATGTAATTGGTGGTGGTTCATCTACTGTATCGTTCCAGCATTTTGTTTCGACTGGGTGTTGTGCACGCCATGGGCAAGCGCGAAAATCCGCAGTGCAAGGTCCAACGTTGTGTCTATCCCTAACGAAGAGGTTACTATTTCCACTGGCCCCCAAACCAGGGCCGCGGGGGGGGCGGGGGGGGGGGGGTTTGTTCAACGCCCTTCGTTCGCCCCAAAACAGGCCAGGGTCGCTTGTTCCGCTCTTTTAGCGCATAGCGCACAGCACTCGAGTTGGATCAACGGCTCTGGCATACCCCAAGATTGAAAGCTGCAAACCATAACACTGAGGTAGTTGTTCATTCCAGGCTTGAGTTCCATGAGCGAAAACACACACACACACACAGACGAAACGCACACAGACGAAACGCACGCAGACGACACGCACAAGCACAAGCAAACGCATGCACACAAACACACACTGGCACACACACACACACACAGAGGCACACACACACACAGAGACACACATACACACACATGCATGCGCGCACACACACACACACCAACCACACACACCTCAATCTTCCGATGAGCGTTATTTTCTGCTCGTGCAGATTACCGCGCGTTTATCTGAAAAGCGCTCGGTTCAAGAAAAAGCGCTCGGATGCGGATATCGGAAAAGAAGAAACTGTTCAGCGTGTGGGCTCAGTCTTTCTGCTACTCATGTGCAAGATTTGCAGCGGGCGCCGAACGTAGCAAAACTAGCACTTTTTGAAGTGCGCTCGTGTGGCGGGAAATTGCGCTTTTGTAGCGGGAATGTGCGCTCGTTGTGCGGCCTGGCCCGTTTCATCCAGGAAAGCTGCTGCTCGGTTCAAAACATTGACCGCATTGCGCAACGTGTTCTCCAACGGAGCCTCAATTCCTTTGCGAAGCAGCCTTCCAGTTGGCTGAGTTAACGCTCGAAGACTAAATAGCGCTCGTTTGCCCAAAAAATGCTCGAAAGCACAAAAAGCGTATGAAATAGCAGCTTGAGCAGAAAATAACGCTCGTTGGAAGATACAGGCACACACCAACCACACACGCACGCACGCACGCACGCGCACACGCGCACGCACGCACGCACCGGCACGCAGACCCGCACGCACCCGCACGCACGCACGCACCCACGCACCCACGCACCCACGCACGCGCAAGCACGCGCAAGCACGCGCAGGCGCACGCACACGCACACGCACACGCGCACGCGCACGCGCAGGCGCACTCGCACGGCGCGCGCACACGCACGCACGCACGCACGCTCGCACGCACCTGCACATGCACCTGCGCAGACACAGACACAGACACAGACCCAGACACAGACACTGACAAACATACACATACACATACACACACACACACACACACACACTGCTTTTAAGCGAATCACAATGCAGAAACAAACAAATAAGCAAATTCAAAAGCAAACCTGCATCTTCATTTGAGCAAAAAGTGCGCACAACGGAACCGCGCGCGTTTCAATCAAAAAATCACAAAGGTCCAAGAACTGCGCGAGGCGCTTTTTGCTGGTTTGGGCAAAGGTGGTGTGAAAAGCCTGGACATGCACCTGTCAAGCTGTTCAAAAATAACTAGGCAAGGATACATGCGCCTTTTCGGCCAGAACTAGCCTAGATGATCCAAGGAACCAAAGGGCATTTTGGCTATTGACCTGCGGAGCGTTGTCGGGAATACCCTTCAACATTGCCAAGCCAGGGAAGCAAGTTTCAGATCCTTGAGATTGCAAGAGATCCGAACGGCTCTTCCAAGTGGCGCAGCTTCAACTGACGACCACATGTGGCTCAAAACCGATCTTTTGGTTGGCAATTCGGGCGCTTTGGACATCTTCTGCCTAATTAAAAGGTCGAAAACGCGCGCATGCATGCGCACACTTTTCGTATTTGCGCGCAATTGCGGAAATTTTCGCGATAGTTCCGGATTTTTGTGCGCAAATTGCGGGCTGGCAAGGCGCCGAAAATCGACTAATTTCACCTATTATAGGCGAGTTGTCTCAACAACAAGTGTGGCGCAAGCACAGTTCTGGAGCAAACAGCGGATCCGTGCAAACCCAGGCAATACTTGCGAGCTTGGAGCTATTGACGGAGCCAAGCGAGTTGCTAAATCAATGGCCACAAAGCGTCAAGTGCAAGTGATAGCTGGAACTTGTGCCGGGTGCCATGTGTGCCACAAATTTCCTGCCTAAAACAGGCTGGGTGGAGACAAAAGAAGAGCTAGATATGCTGGACTTCAACAAACAGCTGCGCCGGCACGGGCACGAGCAGCGCAGTATCGATTGTTTCCACAAGTAGTACCGACTTTGGCTACCAGAGGAGTTTCATCCAAAACGTGCGCAAATCCCTCAAAAGTGCGCAAATTCAAAAAAAACACGCAAAGGCACCACAAAACGTGCAAACAAGCATTTGAGCAGAAAAAAATGCGCAAACAAACAAACCAAAGGGACACCTGGCTTTGCTCAGGCAGATCGCTTCCGACGCAAAGCTCCCGACGGCAGCGGAACTGCCGGCGATGCCGACGGCGGCGAAAGCGCTTACGCTGGCTGCGGCGCAGTTGGCTTCGTTCGCCGGGACACTCGGGGGGCTTGGTGTTCAGCTTTCCAATTGATTGGAGGTTGGGGATCATGTCGCATCCCATTGGTTTTGTGGTTTGGATTGGTGGTTTAGTCAGAGTTTGGGGCTGCTTTTCATGATTCGGTTGCTTGTTTCAAAATAGAAATTTCCCTCAATGTGAGCGACTGATTAGTATTGCTCTTCTGGCTGAAGGACACGCAGGCCGATTTCCATTTCCATTGAGAGGCCCAGGTCTTTCATTTTCTTCAGGCAGTCAGGTTGTTTCTCTCAGCTGAAGTCTTTTGGGTCTCAGGCTCCAGAGGTGGCAGCTCCGCGCCAGGGGCGAAGGGAATACCAGGTCTTGGGCGTGTGTCTCTTGTGGTTTCGCCAGGGAGCTCGAAGAGACGCCAGAGAAAACAAATGTGACACCCCGAAGTCTCCCATGTGCTCCTAAGCAACTACTATCTACTATTGTCCGTGGCTGTGATTTGAGTTTGGGAGCCCGGATCACACAAAAAACTGCACGTCAAGTGTGAGACTGATAAATTTGACGACATGCGTGCTTCATGCGCTGCAAGGCATGATCTCAGGTTTCGCTGAAGCAAGACAGAGCTACGAATTCAGGTTAGTTCTCATAATCTTCCAGTCATCAGTGCCAGTTTGTGTTTCACCTGCGGGCATTGTATGCGCCCTTCAGGCAGTCAGCTAGATACAACCCTGGAAGGTGTCAAGGACAGGGAAGAAGCGCTCCCCTGCCCCTTTTTCTGACCGCCCGTTGGGTATAGATTTGCCCTTTTTGGTCAGTATGCTTTGATCCCAGTTGGATTCCACTGCTTGCGGCTGTCAAATCATTAACCACACCGTCTACTTTTCCAAGTGGACCCAGCCCTGCCTCCGCTATGTTTGTTAGGGAGCAACAACCCCGCACTATGCTCTTAGGGACACCGGAGGGGTGTTGGTTTTGCACGAGCCGTGAGGTTTGGGGCGTCAAACAGGTCGCTTTTGCGGCCGAACCATCTGATTTTGTCCCGGTTGGTCAGGGGCCCAGAGGTGCCCTTGAGGGGCAAAGGCCAGGACATGGCTCCATTAAAGTGACATCCAAGAACAATAACCGTCTAATCGGTTCAAAAAAGGGAAACAACATCCTAGCAAATTGGACAACCCCTGAAAATGGGCACTTTTCTGGACCCTGTCAATTCTTGACATGCTGGATCAGATATTTTGGAGTTTGACACTATAATAAAAATGCCTGTAAGGTCTCCCAGAGATCCCCGAAATCACCACATTTCTTATTCCCTGCATCTCTCGCACCAGGACTACCCCCCCCCCACCCCCCTTCTCCCTGTTCGCCATCGGCACGACTCAGGGGCCGCGCAGCACGTGCGCTGCTCGACTCGGCGGAGCAACGGCTGGCGCCAAAGTTGGCGCAGCTGGCGGAATGCGCCAGGCGCGCTCGTCGGATCAATCTGGGGATCGATGTTTTCCAATTTCCTTGCAAGGGGGATATCTTCAAACTCATCTGAAATATGTTTCAACGTTTTTTTTTTTTTTTCATTTGCTTAAGATTGTTGTTTTCGCAGGGTTTGAAGCAACTGGACGTTTATCAGAGGGGTGCCTTTAAATGCAAGAAACGACAAGCGAGCCCCTTTTTTCCGCCTCTCGAAGGCTTTGGGGGGTCTTTGCCCTTGGAGTTGAGGATCCATTATCCCTTGGTTCATTCTCAAAACTCAGGGTTCTATCGCCAGACCAACTGCTTACCCTAAAATGGCAAGTTTTCTGGTGGGTTCCCTTTCCCAACCAAAACATTGCCAAAGGCTTAACTTTTTATACCAGTTTGCATGTTGGTGTTCCATCATTTTCACCCAGCAAACAGGGACGACGTGTGTAGGTCGGATCCATTTGATCAAGCTACTGTCATGAAATATTGGCTGTTGGTGATCAAAGTCATTTTTCAGGGTCGGGGGGACTTTGGTACAATCCATGAGGGGGTGTTTGAGGGGTTTTTTGGGTGGTTTTAAAGGGAAACTAAAAGAAAGACTATCATTTTGGGATCCACAAAAAGGCAGAGTCCTGAGGCCAGTTTTAGGAGTTGATTTGATGTCAAGGGGAATCCCTTGCTTTGGATGAATCCCCCTCGATTACCTCTAGGCATAAAGCCGGACGCTTGCAGGTCTTTGCTTTTGATGGCTTTCCCCTGGCGAATCTCGAAAATACATAACATTCTTGGGCTGACTGAATATATGAAACTTATTTTGACAGATTTTCTGCATTCTGTTCAACCGCTGTTTTCACAGCAGCCTTGCTTTCCGAAAGGAGACCGTACTCAGTGGATCCATGTCTTTTTGGGGCTTAGTTTTGGTTGAACATAGATGGCACTCTTGAGCTTGGTTCGAATCATTCCCCAGTGCCATTGATTTATTTACCAACAACATCACCCATGATTGCTCTGTTTTTGTCCCGTGTTTGTTGGGGATTGGCTCTCCAAAAAGGTGTCCAAATCTCTGTTTCACCTCTGCTCCTTTTTGTCGCATTTAAGCATCACCTCTTCGGCCCGCTTTTTGAGGCGACTTTGGGTGCGGTGATGTATGGGATTCATGTTTCTTGGGGCCTCAAGGGGACAAGTGGGATAAGCGATGGGAATGCCCAGGGAACAAACGGGTAGAAGTACGAAACATAGTAATTACAAGCCTCGACCTTTCAATAATTGAAGCCGCTTCCCGGTGAATGCTGACCCATGTAGTGAAGTAGATGCCGACAGACGATTCTTTTGGGGGCAACTCCCCAAACAAGTGGTCCAGATTCCCTCTATATAACGTGGATCTCGCCTCCTATTAGTCAAGCAGGGCGTTATAAATCCTGGGGTCGCATTCTCCACAACAGAGTCGGTAAACAGGCCTCATTAGAGCAGTTCTCCTAGCCATGGAATCCGCTGAATCCCTTATAACCCGGCCCACACATGTCTAACAGAAGCCATATATGTCCTCCTTCGCAACTCGTTGTTGCGCGATCCATCAAATTTTGATGTTTAAGAGTTTGATCCTTGCGATGTGCGATCCATCACTTTTCGGGCCACCCTAAGAATCTTGGTACCTGCAATTTTTGAGGTCCTCTGCCTTGCAATGGAGGTCCTGACCTCTCCCACGGAGGGTCCAGTCATGCCTGTAGGGAGCATGGGATCCACTGTAGACACCTGCTTGTTGAGACAAACATACAGCAACGAAAAGCCATGAGCCTAGTGGAGAAACGTGGCCTTCACTGGTGTGGGCTTTGTACTTGAAACTGATGGACCACGACGTCTACTACAAGAACCCCACCGGGCTATGCAAATTCCAGGTCCGCAAACCCATGCTGAGTGGAAAAATCAAGCGCTTGGGCCCTCACCACCTGAGCGACCTGACCTACGGTGGGGCAAGCGCTTGGGTCTTCTTTTGAGGCTTTTTGAATTGCACCGGGGTTCCACCCATTTGAATGGCTTCACCTTGCATGTGCTCTGCACATCACGTGGGAGAGTTGCTGAAAATGGTGGACCCCATTCTGGTTGGGAAATGGAAACCAAAAGGCGACCCACCATTTCAACAGACCCGGTATTTTTCACAACGCTCCCCCCCCACCCACCCCATGTGGGATATTTGTATTTCCAAACGCCGAGTGCCCTGTCCTTCCCATTTGGCTGTGGCTCAAAACCACTGGGATCCCATTTTGGTTGGTAGGTGAATTCACCCATTTTAGGTCACCTATTTTCGTGCTTGGATTGGTTGATGTCTTTACTGGGGGCTACCCGGGCTTGGGATTTTGCAAAGCCCATGGCCATTTCGAGTCCCAGGCGGGATCAGCAGCTGCTCCGAAGGAGCCGAGCCGCTCAAAGGGCCGGCGGCCTCCGCCTGGGCGCGCGGACGCCCAGACGGTTTTGGCGGCCCCCTGGGTTTCAAAGCCATGAAGCAATGAAAGGTGGATTCATATTATAACTAGGTGAATTCGAAAAGTATGACTTCCATTTGGCTAAGAATAGGTTTTTGGTTTCCCCTGTTGGTTTTAAAGGGGATCTATCACTGCTGGAAATAGTTTTATTATTGATATTTCTTGTTCAGGGGATTTAAGCAAATGGAGGACAACCACCGTTGGCTTTCCCTTCTTGATTGTCATCATGCAAATTGGGTCCTTGCCTTTCTGTTTAAGGGGCAACGGAGGCTATGTTGAGAACCTTCTAGAATCTTCTATATATGTCACCCTTTAGTCCATTTTGGTGAGTGATGTGGTAACTTGACTGCCTATTTTATAGCTTTTGAGCTCACCGATTGTCTAGTCCCTTTACTTGGGGGGACCCAATGGTTGCTTCACGCTAGGGCATACCAACCAGAAACTGCCACAACTTGGGTGGGAAAGCGCAGACTCGAAGCAGACCTGGCGGCTCCCCCTCTGGAGCAACGGCCTTTGGTGATGCGCCCTGCTCTACGTTGCAAGTCAGCTTGGGCACTAGCCCAGGTGGACGTGTACTCTCCGATCGCGCAAAGAACAGCTGCCTCCCATCAAGGCATGCGCCAACGGCGTGGCGGACTTGTCGCAAAGCACGGACCGGGGCCAGGTTTGCGTGCAGGGCGGGCTGCCAACATGCTGCACCCGTTCAACCTTGTATCACTTCGGGCAGCAGAGGTTTCTCACACGCCGCGAGCTGCCGGCCGCCCACGCATTGTTTGTCCTAGGTCAGGGAGCCCCCGCAAATGAGATTCCGCAGACGAGATTTCGTTTTGGGGCAGTTGTCCCTGACTTAAGCCATGGGTTAAGTACCCAGAAACTAGAAGTTTATACCAGGTGTCACACGGGTGTTTTTTTTTGGGGGTTCCCTTGTTGGACAATGTGAAAGGCAACCCAACTGAAAACCGATTTTTTGTGGGTCCCTCTATTTTGCCTTTGATTAGTCTCAGTACAGCATGCCAACCATAACCTATACTCTTCAGTGTTTTCAACAGGAAGCCAAAAGATGTTGGATAGCTATGGACCTGTTTAACATCCGGCCATTTCAGTTTCCCTGTGGATTCCATCTTTTTCACTTCCAGGGTTCCAATCATGTGTTGACCGTTTAGACTAGGCAACCAGAGCAGTCCCCTTCAATTGAACAGCACCTCGCCAAAAGGGAACTCAACGACCATAGACCCACAAGGTGATGCTGGCGCAGGGAAACGTACTGCGACACTTCACAAGCATTTGCATCCCCTTAGCGCCCGCCATCAAGCCAACAGCTCCAAGCGTCTGCTGGTTTCGCCATCGCCGTGCTTTCACCCTCCTGGGATCTGCTTCTTCGCGGTGCCCAAAGGCCGTTTGAAGTTATTCGTTTTTTGTTTTTTTTTAGGCCCCCTCAAAAACAGAAAGACGGTGGTTTGCTTGTTGGTGTCCCTTTAAACCAACTCAAACAAGAGTACCCTCAAAATCTCAAAGAATGACATCCCCATTTAGCAAATTAATATACGGGGAGGTTCCATGGAAGTTTTCGGCTCGGTCCTATCCACGGGTCCGACTTGTGGGTCCTTTGAAAATGTCAACTTCAGATAGGACCGTGGTAATCAGGGGTTGTTGCTGCTTCTTGTGTAGGATTCACTTTATGGGGGATTTACATGGTCTTGCGAGACCCGAGGGTGGCTTGGGTAACCATCCATGCTACTTTGACTCATCAAACGGTGGTTGCCTTGCTTACCTACTATGCTGGGTTACTCTTCCGTACAGCTTGTAACCGTTTAACCCTTTGGAAAATGACTATTTCACCACTAACCAGCAAAATGTGTGTCTCTTTGCAGAGGGTCTAAGACCAACCGACGAATATAAGGGGCCAAATATTGGCCTGTCGTTTACGCCTACACTCATGACTGAACGTGTAATTAGAGTCCGGCTATTATAGTATAGAAGGAAATGGGTGTGTGTCTGCGTGTGTATTTTGAGGTTCCCTTCTTAGGGGGTCAAACTGAAACCAACACAGAGCCAAGCTATATTGTTTGGGAGTCTGACACCTTATTTTGAGACATGTTCACAAAATCCTTTCCGAACCAAAAGTAAACCATATTATTCTTGTTTGTTTCTCGTTTTTGTTTGAGGGGGTACATGTTCACACGATCCTTTCCACACCCAAAGTGAACCATCATCTACCACCCATGTTCTCGCAAAGCATGCAAACAAGGGCTCAGGCAGGAAAGGAGACCAGCACAACCCAGTTAGGCTGGTTGGTTATTGTCGCCAAAAAGGGCGGGTCCGTCTCGGAGCGCCAAATTTGATGTTTTGTTCAGCTGCACTTTGCTTCGCATCGGCCGCCCCAAAGAGCTGCTTGAAGATTGGCGATTCACAAAGTCAGGATCCTGCTCTTCCCGAGGAAGAGTCATCCCTTTTCATTGACTTATGCATGGCCGCGGATCCTTCTTCCCTTTTTTTTTGGCCACGGGGGGGAGGGGTACATGTTCACATCTTTCCACCCCAGAAGTAAAACCTCTTCTTCTTGTTCTTTCTTGCCGCGGGTTTTTAAAAGAATCAGAACACCAAACGGAGCCGGGAACTGAGGTCTTGCAGTCTCAGCTGGTACTACTGCGCGCCTTTGGCGCCTGGAAGGCGGGAGTGACCCAAGTTGGCCAGGTTAGGACCTTTCGGAAAACGGCTTTTCCACACACCAAGGGTTAGACAGACCCTTTGCTCAAGAGCAACCCAGTTTTAAGTTTTCGGGTTGGTTATTGGAACCAAACGGAGATCCCCTATCTTGAGACAAAGCCTCTTTGGTCGATTCCCAATTGGTTTCAGCCATCTTTTGCTTCAAAGAACTGCCCCGTTGTTTCCTCCAAAGGCCTCATTTGGAGGAAACCTGGGAAGGCAGGGTTGGGGGAGGGGGCTTGAATCCTAGAAGGATGAGAGAGAGTTTCATCTTAGAAGTTCAAAGTCGACCTTTTGACCTTTTGGTTTTCCCAGGTTAGTTAACCTGTTAGTCAAGGTTCCAAAAGGTTAATTGGGCAACTGAGTTATAGGTGTCCTTTTTCATATAGTTTGGTCAGACAATTCCATTCTGGGAGCATCCATGTTTCCAAATGGTCACCCATGGAGAGGTTGTCTTTGAGTGAGGAAACAACTGCTTGTCCTGGGGGTCCTCTCATTGGGACAAAGTCAGTATGACATATGTTTGGCATGCAAGGAGCCAGCTTGTTGGCTGCTGTGAACATTGATTCTGGCAGCTGCCTCAAGACAATATACATCCGTGGGGTGTCCGGGGCGTGACAAAGAGGGTGGGTGCGAGCACGGAGCGGTTGGAAACTGGTTGTTCTTTGGTAAAGGCAATACCGGATGAACCCACCCCAGGGGAAGGTCCTGGCAAAAAGGTCCTGGGTTTGGCAGAGTTCAGCACTTTTGTTGGGAATTACCAGACGGGTCGATTCATCCGGGGTCAAGATTACCCAAACTACGGTCCTACCAAAGGGACGGGGATTCTTAAGCGTGAACCCTTCTGAGAAAGGAGCCCCACAAATTGTCACCATTTTGCTGAGACCTTGGAGTGGAACGGGAGGATCTCCACTAATTAAATGATACCTGGGACAAGTCAAGAAACAATCTTTGCCAGCTAGGTTCCACAATCAGGTGGTTTTTGGATGTATCCTTCAAGGAACCCTCAATAAACGCAAAGCGCCCACAAAGAACGCACATTCTGCGATTTTGCACGCAGTGGCTCGAATAGCCTTTGCAGAACTGTTTTGTTCCAGAAAACCTGCCAACTCTATCAGTGTTTATACTTAGGGAGAGAGTGCTTGACACCTCAAGCGATGGGCATCAAGAGCCAGGTGCCATGTTGAGTGCGTGTTGTCCGAGGAAAAAAACGTGCTTCCAGCTACCATAGCCCAGGGGAATACATTTTTCACACCCTAGATATAAGTGGGCTACGTTTCTTCAAGAAGACTCATGTTTCTCGTCCCCAACGATCGGTTAGTCAGAGTCGGAGAAACGAGTTACCCTCTTTGAAGATATTGCATTTTGATTGGTCCGAACACACAAATGGCTCTTTTTCAGGGACACCGAAACAGCAAATGCACAGTATGGCAGAAGCGGTCATTTGAAGCTCAGCCCAACCTGTTTCCATGTAAAACGAAAATGGATCAGTTCCCACTGGCCATGTGGACCGCTTTGGGAAATCAAAGGATCTTTCAGCAACATTGGGGTCTCAAGTTAGGGGGACCCTTGTTGGATGTCCATTTTGAGAACCCATTTTAGCCACAACATCCGGGCCTCCGAAAGTGCACCCACGGACGGTTGAGCCGGCGCCAGGCAGATCTCACCACTGCGCCCGGCTGCACAGGGTGGCCCTAGTTGCCCATGGTGTCAACTATGGGTTCGCAGAATTGGAATCGGAACTCTGAAATTTAACGCCCGCAGTTCCATTGGCATCCACCTAGTCTTTTGGGATTGATCATCGCTCCCACGTTTTGCGGCCATAGTGGAATCGGTGTTCCTTCAAGGTTCCACTTTTCGAAGCACGCTCTTTAAAGGGAACCAAAGAAGACACACCCGCAGTTTCTTGCCTGGCTGGTTTAGGGGAATGGGATGCGAAAAGGACCCCAGTTTTGATTTCCCTCCACATGAACTTCAATCTTCGGTTGGTTGGGACTAGGGCGTTGGGAAAACCTCGAAGCACTGGAACCTCGCGCAATCTGGATGCAGGCTGCATGTTTTGGATGTTCATGGCATGCGTTTGGAACCTTAGAGACCCACAGAGACTACTGGATTCTCTTTTGAACCTGCAAAGATCTTGTTTGTTTCTGTTTGTTGCTGGTCTTCTATCAATCAGATCTCGAATCACGTCAATGGCATTGCTTTGAGCCCAGGCCTTTTGCCGGACTGCCGAAAGGAAGTTCTGCCAGGTGCACATGGTCGCTTGATTATAGGACCAAGGAAACCAGCCGATTTGTCTCTGGATGTTTTGGTTTTCTGGGGTCCGGAGTCCGGATCCTACGTGTTTCTGGCCCTTAAAGAGCCTGTGGTTTGGCCTGATCCAAGAACAGAACGTGACATCCCTGCCCGCCCGCCTGCTGCCCTTCGTCCTTTTTTCTAGAACCAGATAGATAGCTTTCCGATGCCCCGCATCCCTGATGGCCCTAAGCCGAAGCCCGAAATCCATACCTGGGGTCACAAACCCCCAGGGGGAGTACGGAGCATATGCGGGGTTGTTTCTTGCATATTAGAACCCTCCCACCAACAAACATGGAACCTGACAGGGGGTCCCTTGGAAAGAAGTATGATCTTCCAGGCACCCCCGAACGTCAGGTTCCATGTTAATCGGTGGAAGGAAGCCCCCAGAAAATGGGCGGCCCACCTTTGGCCCAAGCCAAGGTCATCGCCTATGGCTACCAGCTATCGCTCCTGTGTAGGCAGGCAGATTTCATCGGACCCCAGGCTTTCCTTTTGAATGGGAACGATCTAAAGCGGAACCCCGGGTTGTTTTTTGTTTCGGGGGTGTCCCTAGTAAGAAACCAGATCACTTAGGGACAACAGTTCCGATTGGGATGAGTTCTACTTAGATCCGGGATTCCTTTTAGACTGGTTGTTTTTTGGGGGTTCCTCCATTTTCCTTTTTGAGCAGCAACGAGTGATACCTTTTTGCGGGTCTATTCCTCTGGGCCATGGTGATTGAACTATTCCTCGGAACAAAATCGTCGCGGGGATGGAGCTCTCACTTTGGTTTCACAGAAAGGGTCATCCACCTTTCTCTGACTGAGGCATCCAATGTTCACAAACAGTTCTACAGAAAGTGCTTTTTCTTCAGGCGCATGCAAGTTTCACATCAAAGTTTCACCGGAGTTGTTTTCCCCCGTTTCCAAAAACAGCTCACCTTGCCCAAAGCCGACCCTGTGACCTGTTGGTCTTCCTCTTTTGGTCCATTTTTCGTCATGACCCCAACCGAACAGATCAGCTCAGCTGTCCTCCAGTCGGTGGTTTGGAGGTTGGGTGGTTTCCAACTGGTTACCTGAGACGAGAAACCGCGGGCAAACAGCAAGAAACCCTGGGGTCAAGCGGATTTCCCTTCCAAAGTGACAGTTTACTGCTGGCTTCCAACAGAAAAACAAAACACTGCGTCCTCCAGCAGCAAACCCCGGGTTTGGGGCGAACAAAACGCCAGGCTCCGTCTACGGGTCGCCCTTCAGCCCCACGGTGCCGAGCCGGGGCCTCGCTCACCGCCCTGAGCTCCTGGAAATTTGGCGCTCCAAGATGGGTTTCCTTGTAAAACCAGCCAAAACGGGGGTACCCGCAAAAAAGACACAGCGACGTTTGGTCACTTTTGGAGTTTGGACAAAGGTTTGGGAGCTTTGCTTCGGCCAATCCACTGTCGAAGCGAGTTTCTGTGTTCCTTCTAGCAAGCACGGGTTTGCATTCGGGTGCAATTTGTGGGTGAAAGTGACCTCACATCGGGTTTCAAAAGAACCCCGCAAAGTTGCGTCTCAAGATTTTGATTAGACCGAAACGGGCCGAAAACCGCAACCTAAAGGAAATTATGACATGAGCCACACACATGCGCTTCGCCTCGGAAAGGCCCGAACTAGAAGCAATGCGATTGAGGTGTTCTTCTCTGAAACACTCTGTTTGAGATAAAAGACTCGGTAAGGTTGTTTCTTGGACAACATGCAAGTGAGCCATTGCAAGAGTCAGACCAAATGGACACATCATATCGATGATTTATTCCGGTGTCTTGGTGGCTGTGCGAAACTTTGAGACCTCGCACGCCATCGAAACGGTGCAAGCTCAATTTCAGCAACTGCAGCACACGGTTATCTCCCTTTCGAGTTGTTGGACTTTATATGGCTGTGGGTCAAAATTAAACCACCAGAAAACCGCAAGTTTTTGTCCTTGGATACATTTACCATGGTTTCATTTTGGTATATACCTATTTTTGACCCACTGCCATATATTTCCTGGGAAGACCATCTCAGCGGCAAATGAAGCCAACCTTGGCTAACAGGGCAGGACGGTTTAAGAAGCGCGCGCGGCGTGGCCTTCTCAAGCAAGCGAGGTACGCGGCCAGCCTCGTTTGGGTGCGTTTTTCTCTGGGGTACTTTGTTTTTGCTTTGCTCCAAACGGACAAGCAAAGGAACACTCATAGCTATGGGGCACGCCCTATTTGACACATACCCATGGTCAGACCAATGGTTCACTTCCCGTGGGCATCGCCTGACCTTCTGCTCACTGTTGCGCTGACACCATGCAGTTTGGATTGGTTATGCATGGGCATGTGTCGAAACTAAACCACCAGGGGACCGCAGGTGTTCGTCCTTGTTTCCATTTTCCAGGGCCACCCATTTTGGGGTTTATATTATATAATATATCATACCATCAAGCGCAAGCGTCAGCAAGCGCTGGAGGCATCTAGCAAGGACAGCAGACACAGCAAACGCAAGCCGCATCGCATACACCGGCGGCAACCCTAGGGCAGTCTGCCGCAATCAAGAAACAAATGCACAGAGGCACAGCGGACTTGCAGGACATGCCACAGGACATATGGCTTGGAGGGAACAGCTGGCAAAAGGATCTTCAAAGCCACAATTTGACTAGAACTGAAGGCGGGATACGGTCCACATACTTCCGCGCAATATGATCCAATTACAAAGCTTGGTTTCAGCATACCCCACAACCCCATTCCAAATATTTGGGCCCTACAGCTCAGTCAGCGGACGCAGAGCAAGCAGGCCTCAATGACGCAGAGCACGGCGCCTTCCCAAAGATACTTCCTTTCTGCCACTTGCTTTGGGAAGGGTTCCGATTCCTTTTTTTGTTTGGTCAACCAGCCAAAAAAGCATGGCGATGGTTGTTTGCCCATGGCTACTGGGCTAAGATTGTATCCAATATTGACTCGGAGCCACAACAAGGTAATGGCCATGAATCAATGAAAATGTTCTTGACCCGAAGGCACTAGTCACTGCTGGTCACTAGGCTGCAATGCCTTCCATTGCCATGGCCCCAAATCGGTGTATGATTGTAAGAAGCAGCCACGTTCCGCTTGAGTCGCCCCTGCTAGCACCCCTCCTGAGTTCGTGTTGTTGTTTTTGTGTGGAAGACCATGTTTGTGTCAACAAAAACAAGTTTGATGGCTTTTTTGGCCAGGCCACTTTTTCGGAGGTGAGGTTCCATCAATTGCCGATGTCAAAGCAAGGTGATTTCTACCAAAGGGATCCCTCAGTTCCCCACCCCTAAGCTTCGTTTCATTTTAGTGTAATCTGTGGCTCACGTCTAATTTGGCAGCGTTTGTCCAGTGTTCTGTTGGGGGCGGGGTGGGCCCCTTCAAAAGCAACTACCAAAAACCAGTGCCTTTTTCTCCCCGGGTGGGTATTGTCTTTTTGAGGGTACCCTTTGTGGGGTGGTTTTAACCGGAAACCAAGAGGGGCACCACTATTTTGCGTCCTCACCTATCTCGAGACACGCCCATATTTGCGCCTAATCTCGACCTTCCGTGTCTCAGGTTTCTTTGTGGGGTGTCCTGATCAAGACCGGCCGGGCTTTGGCTGTGCCCATCGCTGTTTGTGCCTTGGTCCGAGAATGTGCCTCAAAAACCCTGATATACATGCAGAGATATATTTCGTATAGTACATACAGCTGTATGTGCATGTGTTTCTCCTGATGAGCTCCGTATTTGCATATATATATATATATGTATATATTATAGATTTGAACCCTCCCGCCCCCAGGTTCTAGGGAATGCATGTGCCCATTGATATTTGCGTGCTTGGCGCACCCACCCCAACCCCAGGGCACGTAGCCATTTCCCTTGGCATTTTGGCAAGGGCCAAGTTAAAGTCGTATGTCCTTTATCAGGATGGATAGGCCCCAGCGGACTGAGCGAATCATGCTTGTTGCTTTACTTGCCCCCCCTGGTGGACCGGCATTCAGTCATTTCATTGCACTCCCAAAGAGCAGCTTATTGGCCATTTCATTACACCGGGCTTCATGAAGGTCAATAGACCTCGGGCACTGCTCAAATTAGATGAGGACCCCGGACCCGCAGACAAGGCACCCTCAATCTTAAAGCAAAACCGGACGAATTGTTTAAATAAAAATGGATTTGCATCATGTTTGCGTCGGCAAAGTCGTTGGCGGGGCATAGCTCAATCTCACATCTAGTGCAACATATACATACATCCTACACTCTCTCTGTGTTTTTTAGAATGCACTGCCTCAGATCCAATTGTTGTTTTCTTGCTGTCTTTTGCTGTTCTCTTGAATTACTTGCACCAATATTTGTTCTGTGTTTCTTGAACAATTTGCACCAAATGTTGTTCTGTTCTCTTTGCGGCTTCAAGTTAGCGATGTTATTAGATAATGTTTAGGTCTGATGTCTATAGGATATATGTTTGACGTGAACACAGCCTAATAAACATAGCAGTAGTTTTGACAGCAGTGAATATACATATGGAATCATATATCTGATGTTTGCATGATTGTATGACATAACTCGCGTAGTCTCTGCTCGCGCAGGCGCCCGCGTAGCCAAGCCTGCAATGATACTTCATAGAGTTGTACATGGTTTGAAGCCTTCCTGCTTTGCAGTGGTTGAGGCTACACGGCAGAGTGGCTACATGCTAGCTATGAGATTGCATCGCCGCATGCTTGCCGGTATGCTCCTTTCGAACCCTGGATTTTTCAATACAGAGCTGCTTCAATGCGTGTAGTCTCCGCGTAGGCCGCATAGAATATAGGCCAGGCTCAGGGCCCATTTCAGGAATCTGTCCCTTTCCGGGCGGGCCATTGCCGCTGCTCATGTTGCTTTCAATTTCAGTCTGCATGCTGCCAAAGGGTGTACCAGTACTACAGTACACTTGTGCTGAAAAGTTGCAATTTGAAGCCGGAGCTGCCAAGTGCATTTTTCGAGTATCACAGAAGGCAAGCGGCTTGCGCAGGCATTCGCGTAGGCAACGAGCACACCAAGACGTACAACAGCAGCTGCTTCAGCGGCAGCAAGACGAGGATGACGAACCCCTCGGTGACGTCACACCGAAAGATACGCAGCTGAGCTTGCACCCTTTGCCGATGAGCCGAGCCCCCTTGGTACATTTCTAGCACGTTTGCGGCCGCAGGCAACCAAAAGCAAAGGAACCAGGCGCAAGAGCACAGGGTTGTTCCTGAAGGGCTTTTCCAAGAAACTGGTGAACCAAGCAGGGCAGCTGACTTTCCACCCAGTTTCTTTGTTCAAACGCATCGTTTGGTTCATCCCAACTCCTTAGGGACCAGCCCCGAAGCGGCACATGCCATCTCAGGCAGCCCCGTGTGGAGCCGCCCCCAGAAGGCCCGAACGCCGAACTGGCCGCTGGCGACCTGCCGTCGGTCAACCTAAGCGCTGTTCGTTGACTGCGAAAACGACGTGTTTCGCGCATATATCAGGAATCAAGGTACCAATTATTCATGGGATGGGGGGGGTGGACGGCCACCCCTGAAATTTCATGTTGGCAACCCCCATGGCTTGGTCACACTCATGTGTAATTGGCACACGGCACGGGACATGTCTCCGAGCAACTCATGACATGTTGCCATGAACGTCGAGTGTCACCGATAAGTAGGGAAGGGAATGAACGCAAGGTCCCCTGAAACTTTAAGAGGGTCATTCCCTGATTTTGTGCTGAGCACCAGCAAGCAAGTGTTGGGGCTGCGTTCAAGCCACAGGAACAGTTTGTGTGGCCAATCAAGACCCATATGAGTGTTTCTCCAAGTATGGGCACGCAAAGACGGTTGTTTTCATTGGTTCCCTTTACATACTAATCAAGAGGGGGCCCACCATTTTGAGAAACTCCCTTGCAGCCTTTTCAAAAGGGCACCATGCTTGGCTCATTTTTAGCCATCCCACATTGGTGGCTGCTTTCCCCTACAATGGGTGATGGACATTGAAAATCTAGATCATCCACCGCTAAACTTCACGGGTCTCGGCCTATTTCGCTTTGCTGGGTTTGTTGGTTTTCAGTGGGGTGGGGGCTGCGAAAACGACGTGTTTTGCGCATATATCAGGAATTAATCTTGTAGTTATTCATGGGATGCGGGGGTGGGACGGCCACCGCTGAAATTTCATGTTGGCAACCTCCATGGTTTGGTCACACTCATGTGTAATTTGCACACGGCAAGGGACATGTTTCAGAGCGACTCAAGACACGTTGCCATGAACGTCGTGTTTCACCGTGGCCCATAAACGGCGGACTCGCCCCTGCTCAAGTGCGGGGGGGGGGGCGGGGGGGGTGTCTGTGAAAGCCAGCAACTTGCAGCATAGCCTTGAGTTCGGGTTGGACATCACCATGCCCAAAACTCTCTCTATAATATACACATGTGTTTGCAGTAAATAGGCCAAAGCCCTTCCACTGCACCCGAAAGAGGCCCCGGCCACTTGTCCACGCGTTGCGCGCATAGGCGGCTCCTTTGCGCCAAACCTGGCGCTGCGGCTGAAGCCCGAAGGATTGGGGGACCGGAGACATCCCCACGGAATTGGGGGAGGGGGGTGGACGCCTGCCTTTCCATTTGTGGTTATCTTTCCTTTCTACGAAGACTAGATAACTGTGGAGTTGGGGACCCCCCACCCCCCTCCCCCTTCTGGTAGGGGGGATCCGGAGACATTGCTTTGCCTTAGTCGGCGGTTTGGAGATGGATACCCCAACTTTTGTTTGACCAAAACTGTGTCAGAATACTACGTATATATGTATATACACATTATATCTTCTTGGTGGGCTATCTGAAATATTTGGCTTATGTTATCGTGAGCTTTCCCAAGAAGTAGAAGAAGCTTACCATGATGGAGGCCTTTTCAGTGCTTAAGAAAGTGTTTTTTGTATTTCTGTATATGTATGGGGACATGGCATCCTCCAGCATGGCTCCACGCTTTGCTGCCTGACCCATTAATGTCGTCCATCCAGCTTTGCTCCCTTACCCAGTGACTGAATCTCTTGATATCGAGGCCTCAATGGTTAAAGCCTTTTTTTCAGGAAACATGTCCAGGCCCCTCATTCCGCCAGGACGGAGCTTAAACGGTTCAAACGGTGTTGAACGCTTCCCACAAAACACATGTTTGCCAGGAGGTGGTTAAATGATTCAATCGGTTTAAGCGGTTCAAATGGTTTAAACGGTTCAATCGGTTCAACCGAATCCCCTGTCACCATTGCCTTCAGGGGGGGTCAAGCTGATGTGGTGGGCTCTTACTCCTTCGCCTCCCCTCCTTTGCCAGAAGGCAAATTGGAGTTGGGCGAAAGGAGCCAAGTGAGCCGATAGTCTTTCAAGTTGCAATCTATGTTTAGTCAATATTCTTCGTTATTTGTCTTTTTTTGGCAGTGTTGAAGGCCCCCGCAAAGTCCATAGGGGCCAAATAAACGTGCCTAAGCAATCCTTTGGGGAGTTGTTTGTAGGGACTTCCATTGGTGAGCCCCAACCCATTGTTAGTCAAGAGGCCCCCAAAGAGCTGTACGGTCATGTTGTGTGATAAGAAATCCATTTTTCTTGTCGAGAGTCTTAAGAATTTCTAAGACTTACATTGAATTTAAGAAATCTAGGGTTTTGCCGAGTCTCTGGGAGGTGCATTTTTCTGGGGGCCTAAGCTTTGTTTCTCTTATTATGGTCGAGCGCAGCGGCAGCAGCAGTGGACGGTCCAGGAGATTTAAGCTAACTATGCCTGGGCCATGTCTTGGAATGTCTTGATCAGGCTTGGCTGGATCTGTCTGACTCTGGTTGGCTCTGGCTGAATTTGCTAAGTACGGCTTGATCTGGCTGAGTCTGGATCTGGCTGAATCTGGCTTCATCTGGCTGAATACGGCTTGATCGCTGAGTCTGGCTGAATGTGGTTGAATACAGCTTGATCTGGCTGATGAGTGAATCTGGCTTCATCTGGCTGAATCTGGCCAATTATGCCATCCCTGCCACCACCCAAGCTGGCAGGGCCCAGCGGGCGCAGCATCTCCCGTCAGGGCGCCCCAATGACGTTGCTCAGGGGGGCGCCTCGATGTCCCTGTTTTGGAGCTCCACAAGTGGCAGGTTCATTCAACACACCATTACATTGCAGCTTTTGAGGATATCCAGCCCCTGTCGCTGAACCAAGTGCTTGCAAAGGATGGGTTTGTCTCATGAAGAAGCTTGTTGGCCATGGCAACGTGGAGCCATGACAAGCTAAAAGGGGACGGAACAAAACACACACACACACAAACACAAACACAAACACGCAAGCACAAACACAAACACAAACACACAAACACAAACACAAACACACAAACACAAACACACAAACACGCAAGCACAAACACAAACGCACAAACACAAACACAAACACACAAACACAAACACACAACCACACAAACACAAACACAAACACAAACACACAAACACAAACACAAACACAAACACAAACACAAACACAAACACAACACACACACACAACACACAACACACACACACACACACAACGAACACAATACATATAACACACACACACAACATATACACCATATACAATACACACAACACACACACACACACACCGCACGCACGCGCGCACACACGCACGCACGCACGCACGCGCGCACGCGCGCACACACACACACAAACGCAGAAGAAACCTCACTTGTACAAAGTCGCCCTTTTGACCTTTTGGCTTCCCCTTTGTTGCTCGATATTCAGTCATGGCCCCAAAAGCTTATAACCTTTTATTTCCAGGTCCTTTGGGCAACACAACATGACACGTATTGGGAATGGGGTTCAAGCCCACTTGCGTACATCGGGCTGCCAAAGCTAGGATTCTGCGTGGCTCAGGCAATGCAACTTAAGCCGGCCGCGGCCATGGTTTTACGACTTCCGAAAGTGCTGAAGGGGCCTCACAGGGTTTCGAGGGGCTTGTCTTTTTTGAGTCTCGAGTCTCCTCATAGTCCGGAAGCCTACTTGAAGCCCGTCATCGGATGGCATGGCGGAAGATTCGCCATGCAAAGCAGCGCGATGTAGCAAGAGCAAGCTGCAATGCAATGTCGGCAGGGCTGTTGAAAGGGACAGAGCAACAAAACAGCGCTTCTCAGCGACAACGAAAGTATAGAAGCCCCTGGCAGTAGCACCAATGTGGTTAACGGATCCAAATGTCCCCTAGTAAGGTATTGCACGGAGTCATCTCTCTCGCTCTCTCTCGCTCTCTCTCTCTCTCGCTCTCTCTCTCTCTCTCTCGCTCTCTCTCTCTCTCTCTCTCTCCCTCTCTCACTCTGTCTCTCTTTCTCTCCCTCTCTCGCTCTCTCTCCCACAGCCGGCGCAGCGTGATCCATGTGAGCCACCATGCAGGGAATCGGAAGCGCGCACGCACAGGCCCGACGTATCGAACCTAGAAATTGTAACGCCCAACCCTGAAAATCCACTCCCCGCGGGTCGCGCTCTTTTTTGAAACTGCGGCAAAAGCAACACGTGAAGTATCTAGCGTAAGAAGCTGTTACGCCACAAAAACATGAGCCCGGGGCAAATGGAACAAGCTCCACACGCAACGAGCAACTCACTGGTGACATCATCACATTGACTTGTGCATTGAGCCATGGTTAAGGTGGAAACCCTTGCAACTAGGGGCTGTGAATGCTGAGAGGGCCATCTTATTTCTTTTTTTGTTTGGGGGGGGGGGGAACATTCGCATGGTTTTTCCCTCAACATGCCAAGGTCCGATTCTGACTTTTTTTGAGGCAGCTTTTGGTGCGATTTGGCCCCAAATGTTCCTGGTGGTTCTTGACTTTGCCAGGAGTTGTAATAGTGGCAACTTGATTTCTCATAGTTTTCTCAAGGAAATCAGGTAGAATCCACCGGCCTATTCTGCAGACATGTAGATGTTTATCGAAGATCATCAAGTGGTTCAAGAGAAAAGGAGCCCAAGCCATGACTTCATGCTCTTGGGCACGATTAGGGACAAGTCCGCGCGCAAGCGTTCCTCGTTCTGCAGCCGGTCTTATTTGTCAAGTCTCAAGGGCGTTGGCCCAGCACTGCGTTCCCCATCTTCACTGTTCTCGGCGAGTTTTTTTTGTTTTTCCAGTTGTTTGGTTCTGTTCATTTTTAGTAGGTGGACAAGTCCTACAGGAGGAGGATCGGTCAGCCCCGAGAGCGGGGAACTGGGCCACAGAGAGGTGGCGCGGAGGAACGAGCAGGGAGTGCTCAGCAGTTCCAGAGGCTGGAGGATTGGCCAGAGCAAGGTAAGCCGATTAGGCGGTGGAACTGCTGGAGGTGGATCCTGATCTTGCTGGTCGCCTTCACCTACGAGGGGGGCATCTTTGCGGTGGTTGGCTACTTCCTTGAAGAGGACGATGGCATCTACGCAGGAGCTCATGACGGCGCTGCAGCAGCTGCAACAGCAGATGGGGCAGCTGGCACTGGAGAACCAAGGTCTACGTGATCGGGCGCAGGCGGCGGAGCAGCAGGCGGCGATGACCGGCGGAGGATCAGGGGGCTCGGCGGGAGTGCTTCAGGCATTGATTGCCGGAGATCCTTGAGAAGATGAGCAGAAAAGGAGGAGGCGGCCTGATCAACCAAAAGCGTCTTGGGAAGCCGCAGAAGCTGGAGGACTATGTGGCTGGCGTCAGGAGAACAACATCAAACATCGTACACCATCCGCAGGGCCACAACAGGGTCCGGTCTTTGCAGATTTGGTGGAGAATGCGCCGAAGGGCGCTGTGCTACCGGAAGAGGATCATGCTCCAAGCCCTCGCGAGCCCGGAGAGGAGCTCGTACGAGAACCAAGAGTCTGCGAACCCGCAAGAAAGATCAATTCCAGACAGTCTCGCTATGAATGCATTAGAGAAATTGGTCCCGAAGGAGATGGAGCAGCACCTTATGCTGAACTACTCGCGGTTCAGGACCTTCGAGGTGAATTACATGGAGGCGAACACGGGGAGCAAGCTGATGATCTCGGCAGCAGGAGATGGCTCCGATGGATGTGGACGCTTTGGTCCGGGCCGTGAACGGCAACTTGGCGTCGCTCGTGAAGGGCAAGAAATGTGGAGGAAAGAGCGGCAAGGCCAAGTTTGAAGGCAATTGCGACAACTGCGGGAAGAAGGGCCACAAGAAGAAGGATTGCTGGTCCAAGCCGCAGCAGAATGGCAAAGGAGGAGGTGCGAAGACGAGGAGCCACAGCTTGGGCACCGGCAAGGGCAAGTTTGATGGCGTTTGCAACAAGTGGGAAGAAAGGCCACATGAAGAAGGACTGCTGGGCCAAAGGTGGAGGAGCTACATCGTCCTCGGCGCCTACAAGTCCGAAGGGCGGAAAAGGGAAGAGAGAGGCATCATCTTTGGAGCAGCCCAGAGATGAGCCAGAAGGAGAAGCCCTCTGCGCGCTGACTACAAGCTCGGTAATCACGAGGAAGGTCTCGTTTGCGAAAAGGGTGGCACTCAAGAGGCGAGAGCATGGACAAGGCGAGATCAACATGCTGAAGTGCAACTTCGATATCTGCAGGGCAGCCGCGCAGAAGGAAAGGGGACGTTCAAGACGGCGTCGGGGGAGCTGATCAACTATGGCCCGGTGAAGGTTGGAGGCTACGACATGAACGGAGTGAAGCGCATAGTGAACGGGAACGCGGCCGACGTTCACAAGGTGCTCATCAGCGCGAGCTTCACGGGCGAGGACACAGCACTTGGCCGTGGAAAGGAGGAGGAATCATCTTCCCGGTGGATCACCCCGTCTACGATGAGATGGACAAAGCGATTGACCGAGTCGTTGCGGAGTACGGCGACAAGGGCATGATCCCGATCGTGGAGGAGAATGGCATCTACAACTTCTACCTCGGGCTGGATGAAGAGGAGAGCTCGGAGGAGCAGGTCGCTGGGGCGGAGGAGAATGTTCCAGCAAGCGAGGAGTTGAAGATCAAGCCAAAGGCAAGCGACGGAGGAGCGCAACACGGTCTGGGCGCTGGAGGATGAGGCTGAGGCGCCGCAAGATGGCTCATGCAGGATGGAGACCGCCGCAGCCTAGCGAGCGTGAGAGAAAGGAGCACGAGGCGAGTGGACACGCGGTCTACCGGAGTTGGTGCGAGATGTGCGTCAAGGCGGCAGGACTCGTCTAGAAGCACGTCAAGGTGGATCATGAAGGCGAGGGCCCCAAAATTCTATATGGGCAAGACTGAGGGGGCAAAGCGAACATCGTGGCACGAACTGGAAGACCGCGGCAACCTCCATCGAGAAGAAAGGGTTGGTGGATGCAACAGCCCAGAAGATGATGACCAGGTTCTTGGAGAGCTTGGGCTATAAGGAGGTGGTTCTCAAAAGCGATGGAGAAAGGAGCCTGGTGAAGATGAAGATGGAGGCAGCGAAGAAGGCGAGAGGATTGAGGAGAGCAGTGCCAGAGGAATCGCCAGCAGGAGGTTCATGCTCGAACGGAGAGGCGGAGGCGGCTGTCAAGGAGGTCAAATGGAGGTGCAAAGCCAACCTTCTGTCGCTGGACAAGAAGCTGGATGGAGGCGTTCTTGAAGGGCGTCAAGGTCGGAGCAGATGGGAGGAAACCAGAGGAGAGAAGCACCGGGAAAAGTGGGTGAAGGCTATGCCGGAGTTCGGGGAGAAGAGCATGGTCAAGCCTGGGCACGCACAACAGGTTCGTGTCAATCCTGGCGATGACGGATGCTGGGGTGGTCGTGGGCGCACGGGTTCCACACGTGTGCCTTGGGACATCAAGAAGTACGTCAACCAGCAGCAGATAGGAAAGGATGAGCAGGGCGCTGTTCCATTGGTTGTGGTGGCGCGCTCCCAGACCTGGAGGAGAGGTTCAGGTAGAGCCCCCGGAGGAGCATCACGGACGATGATGCAGAAGTATGGGAGCACGCCTGGCTGTCAGGGATGCCACACAATCAACACTGGAGGAGCCCTGGTTCAAGCAAGTCATTCGGAGGAATGCAGGGCAAGAATGAAGAGGAAGGTAGCAGAGGATGTCAGGAAGGATGAGGAAAGAATGAGGAGACAGAAAGAAGAGGACGAGCAGGAGATTGCGAGAGGGTGGAGGCAGATGACTCTGGAAGCGACGGTGGAGCCGCCAAGGTCCGGATGCGGAAGATGCCTCACCAAAGCGGAAAGGAGGAGAGCAAGGAGCAAGGGACATAGAGGATGTCCTGAAAGAAATGGAGGAGGAGACCGGTGGGATGAGGAGAATGGAAGATCCTGGCAGAAGCTGGGAGTAAGGAGGCAGCGAGCGTCGTAGCCAGCCTTGGAGCATTAGATGTGCTGGAGGTGTTTCACCTCAGCGTGTGACAAAGGAGTTGAGGCGCTTCGGCTTGCGTGGCGGAGCGGCGGTGGACCTGGAGGAAACGAAGCCGTGCGGGAAGGAGAGGTGGAATCTCGACAAGCCCACGGACAAGGAGGCGGTGTTGGAAATGATCCAGGAGCAAGAGCCGTGGCTCCTAACAAGTTCCCGTCCGCGCACGTCGTTCAGCCCGTTGCGGAGTGTGACCAACGGGAAGAGGGACGGTGCGTGAGGAGGAGGAGATCGGCAGGGGAAGGATCAGTGGATGCAGGGCGGATCCTATCTGCATGAGCATCCGAGGCCTTCCACGAACCGGGAGGTTCAGAGCTATGTGCCGATTTGGGATAAGGCGCCGCAGGTCTACCCTAAGGAGCTGGTGGAGGCGATCTTGCGTGGGGAGGAGCTCTACAAGAAGGAGTTCGGCCAGTTCGTGGATGATGTGACCGAGTTGCCGGCACATCTGGTGAGGATGGCGCGCAAAGAGGAGCTGGATTGGCTCCACAAGGAGGGCGTGTACGAAAAAGTCCCGAGGAGGACTTGTGTGGAGAAGGGCATGAAGCCCTTGCAGTTGAAGTGGCTGGACATCAACAAGGGCGATGCCGAGAAGGTGAAGGTGCGAAGTCGCTTGGTGGCGAAGGAGATCAAGAAGGCGAAGAGGCCTGAGGACAGGCTTCGAGCCGAGGAGACGTTCGCGGCGACCCCGCCGCTGGAGGTGGTGAACTTGCTGCTGAGCTTGTTCATGACGGATGACCCGTCGGAGCCGGACGCCAAGATAGCGTGCTGGGACATCAAACGGTGAGGAGAGCGTGGAGCCTCTGGTGGGACTGCTCCACAGGTCGATGTATGGGACACAGGACGCGAGTAAGGTGTTCCAGGGCGACTACATTGGATGGTTGAAAGAGCATTCTGTGCAATATGGCCCGCGCTCTTCAAAGGTCGGCGGTTGATGCATGGGCCTGGTCCATGGGGACGACTTCATGGTGAGGGGCAGCAAGCAGAACCTGAACACCCGCTACACTGTTCTTCCTGAACACGAAGGTCTGCTATAAGCTTGATGATGCGGCTGGATGGAAGTTGGAGCTGGAGGCGGATGCGAGGCACTCGGAGATCGTGATGCGGTACTTCGGCTTCAACCAGAAGACCAAGGGCGTGGACATCCCGAGTTGAGCGTACAGGAGCATGGTGATGCGCCTGGCCTACTTGAGTCAGGATTGGCCAGACTTGGGGCACGCAGTGAAAGTGCTGAGTTCAGCACTGAGGTCACCAAAGCAAGGTGACATGCAGCGGCTGAAGAGCATGGCAAGGTGCCTGGTGAAGTTCCTCAAGAAGGTCCAGCCCGTGAGAAAAATGGAAACCCCAGCCAGGTCGGATACCCGTTGACGAGAAAGTCGGTGACGGGGACGGTGATCAAGAATGGCGGGCGCACCGTGATGGTGCGAGGTGTGTCGCAGAAGATCGTGGCGTTGAGCAGCTGCGAGAGCGGGTGCTACGGCATGTGTCGGACGGCCACTTTGGCCGCGTTCGTCCGGAACGCGCTGGCCTTCTACAGGGGTGAGAAGGTCCCTGTGGTGAAGATGCTGGTGGACAGCTCTGCGGCGAAAGTCATGTCGGAGAGGAAGGGCGTCGGCAAGACGCGGCACGTGCAGGACTGGGTGGCGGAGAACCTGGACCGGTGAACGATGCGGACATCGTGACCAGGACCAAGGTCCAGACGGGCGGCACTTTGAGAGAGGCCATCTTGCCCGGCTGGGCTATGAGCTGCGTGACAGTACAGGTCACAAAGCTCTCTTTTTCTAGAGGTGAGATGCACTAACTTAGGGTGAAAAGGGCCTTGATGTACAGGGGGTGCAGACATGTAGATGTTTTCCGAAGATCATCAAGTGGTTAAAGAGAAAAGGAGCCCAAGCCATGACTTCACATTCGAATTGCTCCGGCTCTTGTTTTGGCTGCAAGGCCAAATAGGTTCGCTTTTTCGGGGTACCCTTTTCGGTGTTGTTCAAATGGAAAGGGGGAAGCCACCATCTTTTTGGGGGTTGCAGTCTCCCAAGATGGGAATCGGTCCCCTTAAAATTGGTTGTTTTCCTTTTGGTTCCCTGACAATACCAACTCATTTTGGCGACTCATGTTGATCAACTCCCAGGTGGGCCTGGGCCCATTATATATATATATATAAAAAACCTGTACAATGTTGGTAGAACCAAACGTCAATGGTGAGACACACCGAAATTCGATCTAGAACCTTGGCAATAGCAGCAGAACCTGGCCAATTTTCAGGCACTCCCTTGAAAGTGTGTAGGCAGAATTCCCAGATGATGTCCACCACCCTGGGGCCAGCCCCCGATTTTTGATAGGGCCCCCTTAGGCTCGCAGCGTGCCGGGCTCGCCTCCCTCTACGCGCGCGCTTCGCGCGTGGCGCTGCAGCAGAAAGTGTGGCAGGCGGTCTGCGCTTCCGGATCCTCGGTATCTACGCTCAGACGATTCCGTGGAAGCTGGACCCCGAAATGGAAGACTTAGTGACCCATTTACAGCGGCCACTTGGGGGAGCTTCCACGTTAGCCTGAGGGAGTGTAAGATGGAAACCCAGCCCGAGACACTCCTAGGACTTGAATTGGATGCACAACGCCACATAGCCACTTGTTGTTTTTAGGAGTACATATATGTATAGAAACACAATTATGTATACTAGCTGACATGTCCGTTCCACCTTAAATATGATTCTTAGACAGGGGTCCGCTGAAATGGTTGGCTTCCTGGTGTCCCTTAGTCAAAAGAAGCCACAATTTTGTAGACTCTCCTAGATTTCTCCGTGGGGCAAATTTTTGTATTACCCCTGGGTTGTCCATAGCTTACTTTCCTTGGGTGATATTCAAGGGAGAAATCATTACAGGGAGCAGCCTTGTTGGGTGAGGCAGGAGCGCATTTGTTTGTCTTTATTGTTGAAGATTGCTTACCAAGTTTGTTGGATACATTTAAGTTCTGGACGTTGATTTTGTTTTAGACAATACCATAAAACCAAAAGTTCGGACCCGCAAAGGAAGTGAGTAATTATATGTGTCTGTCTCTTGTTTTCGTTTTTACACGGCGCCAAGAACGGTGCTTGAACAAAAGGCACCCATGCGAGTGGCTCGCAGTATTGTTGGGGCAACTGTCAATATTCACTGTCAACTGTAGCAAAAGGGATCAACTTGGGTATAATGGGAGCCCGATTAATAAACCCCTGGTCGATTAAGAGGGAGGCGGTGTTCCCTCCAAAAACAAACATCGGATTCACTTCCCAAGATGTAACGGCCATGCAGCTTCTACGCCTTCGTGTATTCGAGCCTGCTGTTGGGTCAGTGCGACGTGCTTTCATACATCACTTGCAGCTTTCTATACGGTCAGCTTCGGTCTCGTGATTTGTTGGCGTGGCTACGCCCAACGCCAAATCAAGGCCAAGTTCCAGCGACCCCCGCTTGCGCAAGCACTGGCAGCAGGACGTCTCTCTGTGGTAACGGACGTACTAAGCGAGTTGCGACCGCGCTTGCGATGTCACGCACGCGTTGGCCGCACACTTGCGGCCTAACCGGGGACACAAACCGGATTGATCCTGCCCAATAGCCAATAGTGCCCCCCGATGTGCCTTAGAGGTCTCGAAACGGAGAAGCCTCCGCCGGAGCTTTTGCCGCTAGTGTTGATTGAGTTGCTCTACATATTTACATGGGACTTAAAAGGTGGCGGCAATTCTTGTTGACCCCAAACAAGGAAGGTACTTACATCCAAACCACAAAACCAAATCGAACTGGAGGTAAGCTGACTGTCAGGTTCTCTCAAACTGGGTTTGGAGCCCGGTGGCTTGGAGTACCCCCACGTGGGTCTGTCTTTTTGATTCGGGAATCCCCCCAAAAAGTGTGATGTGTTTGTTGGCTTCCCTTTCAACGAGACCAAGACACAATGTGATGTAGGGGTGTGTGATGCAGTGATACGGCCATGGGTCAAAATCCCGCACCCCCAGTGAACATCCCAATCCCCACTAAAATAGACTCATTTTGGGTGCTGCACCTACCCCAAAATGGGATCCCATTGGTTTTGACAGCCACGGCTATACCAACTCCAAACAAAAACAGGTGCCGGCCCTGTCGCGTCTGGCGTTCTCGCAGGCCTGGAGCTCGTCCGCCTCCGCGTTCCACGCGCGGCGCGCGAAATCGCCGGCGCCGGAGTCGGCCGCCGGGGACCCCGTTTTGGACACGGCGGCCGCGTGGATTCCAAATGGCTCGTCTTTCTGTATAGGGATTCCGCAAAACGGCAGCTTTCCGTTTGGTTCCCAGAAAAACAAGAACAACACCAAAGCAGGGGTGCCCTCAAAATTGTGGCTCAAAAAAGGACATCGGCCTAAAACGGAGCCGTGATAGAACATAAGACTGAAACCTGCGGCTCTTCAAAAAAATGAGCCACACCCGAATGCGGTTGTCAAACATTCTCCTCAACCGGAAGTAACCCTCACGGTCCATGTCCAGCTTCCGATCCTTTGATCTGAAAGGGCTCGGTCATAGCCTGGCACGTCCTTTGTGCCCAAGACTCTAGCTAAACCACTGGAATTCGGTAGATCGTAGGGGTCTCCAAAAGCACTCAGACGTTTCTTTCAGGTCCAGGGTATGGATGTGAACATTGTTGAATATGGGGACCCTTGGAGATTCTCTTTGGATGTCTGTCCACTGGAGTTGTTTATTCAATTCATAGCCAGCCGCGCATTGTGGACCCTGGTACCCCTGGGGTTCCAAAGGCGGTTTATTTTGCATGTTTTCTGTGAAAGGCGGTTTTTTTGCCAGGAGCAGTTTTGTCCAAGCTCAGCTGATATCATTGAACAATTCGGGGGCCGCACGTGCTCAGGACCAAAGGTTGCAAAGACTTGACCTCCGTTCCCACAAAACAAGCAGAGGGATTACCAAAGGACAGGCTGAAACACATAGATTCACCGGTGTCAAAATTCACGGCAGAAAACGTGCTTTCACGCTGGAAAACCGGCTTTCACGCCAATTTCACGGTATTTTCACGGTGATTTCACGCTACTTTTGCGTACATCACGGACCGCTATGTTCACACCAAAATTGTTGTGTCAAAGACATGTTGGGGTGGAACAGGCTTTGTAGAATCTAAACGTGGCAACAGCATGAATAATCCATCAAATACCACGCCATGGCTCATTGCAGGCGCAAAAAACAGGCTTTAGCTGCAAAAAACAGGCGAGGTGCAAAGGACGTTTAAAAAACAGTCGTGGATTTCCAGGGGTACCTTTCAAAGGGGGTAGGAAACAAAAAGGGGTTCTAAGTTTTGACACCCCAAGTGGCTTGTCCAAATTGCTTGGTGCACTAAAAATGGTCAGCCCTGCCCACCGTTCCTCCAGGGTCACTACGGGAATTACTCCGGCGGATGCGCTGGACCGTGGGATACAATGCACGCTGGCTTTCCTTTCTCCGCAGAAGGGTTTTCATCAAGCAACTTAGCGGTATTTTTTTTTTGGGGGGGGGCAGCTCATTCAGCTCAAGGAGACAGCCCCGAGGGTAGCGCTTGTGAGCCCACGCACGGTGCGCTATCTGTCGATGAATTCCCCGATCCTCTGTTGTTTTGCAGCTCCTCGATGGCCCTCATCCAGGTCCTTCGTATAGGTTGGGTCTATCAATTGATGAGCTGGTGCCTGGCCACAGCAACCGCACCACTCTTGGGGCCAGAGCGACACAGGGCAGCCGACAGGAGCGGTAGCTCCTGTCGCATGACAAAGGGCCGCAAGCCCGCAAAATTCCGTGCGGCAAAACACGCGTCAAAGAAACTCTGGCAGAGCATGAACAGGGCAACAAGCAAAATCGAGCCACCATGAAACTCGCAATCGCCAACAACCCTCCAGAAAGAGTGCACACGGCAAACTACCGCTGCCTTGAATCTCGAAGAAGAGGGAGGCCCGTTTCGTTGCGGTGTAGTTGACGCCACCGGGGCAAACAGAAACAAGTAGCTTCCATCCCAGACCAAGCGAACAAGACCAGTGTCCGCAACTCCACAACAAAGGGGCGACAACTCCCTAGCCCTCAACTCGTGGGATGATGGGATGTTGAGTGACTTGGGAGGTTCACTCAAGGGGGTCAAACATGGGCGTGGATGTCTTTAAGGGTACTTTTGTCGGTTGAAAGGTAAGTTGTTTGGAGAATCGCTGGTTTTCGGGCCCCCGGTTTTGACACAAATCCAGCAGGGTCATTGCCTACGGGCCGCTTCGCGGAGGCAACAGCTCCGCCCCCATGGCGGGATCACATGCGCCCTGTGTGCCAGCCCCAGCTGTGCATGCAAATGCTGCGCCTGTGTCAACGGGTACGGGAACAAGGCGACATGAGGGCAATACCCTTGCATACCCCAAGGGTGTCATTGTCCAAAGGCCCCGTCACTTGGGTTGGTAGAGATGGCCATTAACTTTTGAACAGGGGTTTTAGGTAGCCATGATGCGGTTTTAGAAAGCGGTCGTACGAAATTTAACGAAGGATAGCTGGCACGAGGAGCAACCACACTGGCGTCGGAAAAAACACAGTTGGAACTTGGCATGTCCCTGCTATGAGCTGGTGTCACGTCCTCCAAATGTTCGGAAATCACGCTTGCCATGAGAAGCAGCGGTCGCTGAAAAAGAAGTCGTATCTTAAATCGCCTTGGTCGAGGAGGTTCCCTCCAACTCAAGCGGTCCCACCTCCGACAATGAAGGGAACTGGCGCCGAGGGGCTCACAACTGCCACAGAAACCAAGGGTCTCGGGGGTGTGCTTCTGTCAGGGTGACCTGTTCACCTTGATAAACGAGCGCGTTGAGAAAACCACCAAGTTCGGAGACAACCCGCATTGAGCTTGGCTTTAAATTTCCTCAACCCCTTCACAGTCATTTTGTGGGGTCCTAGTGTCACACATTGCGCAAAGGCCACGAGATGAACATGGGTGTGTCTTGTTAAGGTTGGACCCCTTTAAAACCACAAAACAAGAGTTCTTGCGGGACCATGTTAAGCCAGCGAGAACCAGTATGTCGGACATCCGAGCAAGCAACCCGCAAGGGGACGGCCAGTCGGGCCTCACGTGCCGTCCAGGTTGCTGTCCGCGAAATCTCCGGCAAAAAGCTGCGCAAGAGAGATGACAGCCAGTGCATTCCAGTGGCATGTTGCATGGTCTCACAGTTCTTGAACACGTTCTTGGAAATTATGCTTTTGGGGGTGCGGTTCGTTTGTAATGACTGCAAGACAAACACCGGTGTTTGTGCATACACCCGGGATTCGGAAAAGTGGCTCAATATTTTCAGGGGAACGGGGGTTAGGGCCCATTGGTTGGAGAATCCATGTATTGGTGAACAACATATGTCTTAATAAGTGCGGCTTGCAGAGCCAGTGACCAGTGTGACGTGTTTACTTGCTGTGTTGATTGCCTTTCTTTGTCTTGTTGCTTGTTGGCAAGCAAGAATAAAGATTCGCCCTCCCTGGGCCCTCCCTCCAACAATCGTAGAAGCTGACAGGAGGGTGTTAAGACAATTTTCCTCTTGGAAAAGTCCCCAATCGGGATGGTGTGTGCAGACGCTGCGCTAGGCTTGCGTGTTTCTCCTGGCTGTACCTTATTGAGTAACAGTCCTTTCACTACCCAAGCCATACCGAAGGCTTAAAAGGGGGCCCAGATGCTGGTATCAGGTATCAATCTCTTGCCACTGATTTTTGGCATGCATTTCTTAGAGTCATTGGTCGTCTTAGAAATGAAATAGGGGAACCCCTTTGTTGTTTCCCATTCACGGTTCTTTTTTTAGCACAAATGGTACGCACCAAAGGACTGAGACCAACGCAAGCACATCGGCTTTATGTGGTTTGGGATTCGTTGAGTATTTCCATTTATACTTAGTTCCTGAGATCATGAACTTTTCGCACTTTTTGGAAAGAGCAATTTAGTGGCAAACCACACAGTTTGGACTTTTGTGGGCTGGCTCCCCACTCAACAAGCGAGCACAGTGGTCCAGCAACCGCTACGCTCGTGCAGCTCTTTGGGCTCAAGAACCCCTTGACCCCACCACAAAAAAGGCGCGGGGGCCAGCGATCTATGTGTCGGTCTTGTGGGGCAAAAAGGGTGTGAAAACAGGACATCCTCGCTTCCTGAGTTGATGGACTACACTTTTTGGGGGAAGACCATGTTAGTGGCAAACAAGAAGTTTATTTTTATTTTTTTGCCCATCAACTCAGGAAGTGAGCATCATTGAGGCTGGATGTCACCGCATTGCCTAGGGGCTTCTCACTCCCTGAGTTCCTGGACTTGAAACTTCTTGGGACGATGTTAGGAACAAATACAAAGTTTGGACAACTGTTTGCCAAAACCCAATCCGGAAGCGAGGCTTCTTTAGTAAACGTCGCGATCATAGTCTTTTTGGAACCCCTTGGGACAGTCCGGCCATCAATTCTGGTCTTCCTCAAATAAATACATGTCTGAATTTGTTGTATTTTTTGTTTAAACACATTTTGAGATAGACTACATATTGGACCAGAGTCTGTTTTTGCGTACCCACGATATGGGCCAATAATTGGTGCGGCCGCTTCTTTGATTGAGCATTGCTTGTTGCAGAGCACCTCAGAGAGAACTAGCTAGCAAGTCGGGAGTGAAGCGGCGTGGGTGATTGATTGTTTTGTCGACTTCTAGCCATCCTGATTTCGTCCAGGGCTTCCCTCTCGTTGTTTCTCTCTCCGTATTTCCGCGAGCTCTGTTGTTTCCGCCATCTTGCTCCTGGGTTGCTGTTTGCTGAGAGTTGACCCTTTTGTTGTTTTTTCCTGAAGAGGTTCAACGATCCCCGAATCGCTTGCCTCCAAGCACCAAAACTGGGCGCTCCTGACCATTTTCGGAAGGCGAACTGGTTGAGAGGTCACCTGGCTTTTCGGTCTTAAGTGGGAGGCTGCCCTTGGCAACCAAGCTCACCTGAGAGCGTGATTTTCACCTGTTGTGGCCCTTTAGCCTACCACTTGTGGGGTGACTTTGGTGCCATACTACAGCGAGTACTTCCCTCACAAGAAGAAGCCTCACTCTGAGGAACTTCCAAAATCCAATTCCTGCTGACCTCGGCGCAAATTTCGCTGTCGCGTTAGCGTTCATACTTCACTCGGGACAAATCCTTTTAGGAGAGGCCCATTTTGTTTGCAGGGAATGGTCTAATGTTGACCCCAGCTTAATCACCACTTTATTTTCTTAGGGTCCAACTGGATTTCGTGGTTGGAATCAGACCACTTTTTGGAGGCGCGTGAGACGGCGGTTCTTCTTTCCAGGTCTCGGCCGGCATTGCTGACCGCCCGGCGGCTCAAGCCAAACTCGCACGACCCATTTACAGCAACCCTACTCCTGGGTATGCATCCAAATGAAAGACCACTAAGAAATCGTCATGACTGGGATATGTGATATGTGTGAAAAATGCTAGAGAAACCAAAAGCATAAAACAACAACATCATGTATGAGGTTGGACGCTCAAAAGCAAAAGCGCTTGACCTGGCCCACTCAGTGCAATTGCATTTTCCTCATCCCTAACCCCTTTGGCTGTGTTGTTGTTTTTTCCCCAGAAAAAACTGGGGTTGAACGTGTGACAATCTGTCATTCGGCGGTCTATTTGTCCGTGTTGGCTTTTAGTTGAAATGCTCATGTCTGGCAAATCAGCTATTCTTAGTTCCCCCCACAAAACAGCTACGCAGCAGAAGCCAGCGCACGCTTTTGAATTTGGGATAAGGATGGCTGGGCAGTTGGTATGGGCCGCTCAGTCCTCCCGTGAGCTTTACTGGAATTCCGTAAACGATAGAGACCTCGCAACCTCTGAAGGTTGAAAGGGGGTCCCTTAGGTTCAATGAGTACAGCTCACCTAGCTGCCAGAGGCATACTCAAGGCCTTCGAAGGGGGCCAAAGATATTGGCCTTTCCGATCAGAACCTGGGCGTTTGTCTGCAAGGAGTTTATTGGGGCCCGCCCGCCCCGGGTCCGAGTGCCAACAAAGTGTGCAGTTTTTGTGCAGCGTCCCTTGTGTTTGGGCTGAGTTCTGAATGAGTCAAATGGGGTTCGGTCAAGATGTCAGGCATGAATGAATTCGAGACAGACACGAGCAATGAGCAACAACTTCAACCGCAAAAGCGAGAAAAACAAGGGGGGGGCAAGCACGAAGCAGCATTTCATCATGGCCATTCCAGGCAACTTTGGCAAGCTTCAACCGCGAACCCTACTCACCGCAATTTAGCGGGCAAGTTTCGCCCGCACGTCACAATTTCGCTTGTCCAGTTGCTGGGCAGGTGCTTGAGGATTCTAGGGCTGATCCACTCTGAGGATGTTAGTATGGGGATGGTCTTCAACAAGGGACGCTTCTTGTTTGATTGTTCTACACACTCCAAACAATTATTTGTTGGAGTCTCTTCCCCTATTTCATTTCAGTATCCACCCACTTGCCGGACCACTGACAACCCCCGAAGAAATAGCGGCAGTCGACGCATCAAACAAACACCGAGAGTGAACACCATGCGGTGAATAAGCAAACAACCTGCCGGCAAGGGCAGCCCGTTGCTTGGCAACGTGGAACCATCCAACGTTAATGTCGGATGAATCTGGAGGACCCTAGCCAGTCAAGGAACCCCCTAAAATAGTGAATTTCCTCACTCAAAGGAGCACCACCCCTGATTAGTACGGTCCTCCAAATGAATCCGAAGTGAACATTAATATTTGTTGCGCGAGCCGAGGTCTCCCCATTCATACCTCTACGTTCTCAACTTAAGGCGCGAAGACGTGGAAAGCGGGGTGGCACCCACGAAAATACTCAAGTGGAGGAATTCCTTCTGATGTTTGCTTGGTATTGGGAAGCCAAGATTAGTAAACACCTGGTTGATTCACCGGGGGGTGTTCCCTTTTAGTGGGAATGCTTCACTTTTGTGGGTGACACCCCCCTATTCATAGGACGATTAATGCAGGAAGATGCTCCATGGCCGATGAACAGCATGGAGTACCCTGTGCAGGGCAAGCAGTTCGGCAAGTTCAGCATGTTAGGGGCCCTTGGTTTTGTGTTTCGCCCTGCCGAGCCAGGGCTTTTCCGTTCAAGCATTGTTTGTTGAAGAAATTTGTCTTGGGTTCAGGTGGCATTCCTGGTATGCCATCCCCAAAAGCCTGGCTGAAGGACCTCTCCGTCCATGTCTCATGGAATTCCCCCGGAAAAGGCGCCCTGGATTTCTAGCAAAAAAAAACTGAAAGCCCAAAACAGGATCAATCAGATCATGAAAAACCAACCCTTGGAATCAGATCAGTTTAAGTGCCCTGCCAACCCTGTCCAGAAGTGCATTCTTGAAAGTCATTCCCATGTTACACGCAGTATGTCGAAACTATGTGTGAGCTCTGCGTGGTTTGTTCGAGTGTTTGCTATTCTGTTCGTTTGTCCGTCCTGCCGCCCGTCAGTCTGTTTGTCTGTCCGTCCGTCCGCCCGTCACTCTGTTTGTAAATGCCAACCAGACACATATGCGAAGCCTGCATTATAATATGTGCAGATACCCTTGCAAACATGCACTCCTGTTTCGCAGAGGCTGCCGGCTGTTTACATTTGTTCATTGTTACGGGAACCAACACATAGTTGTGGCATGGTTCCACAAAAGACAGGATAGAATAGTGAAGTCTTGTCTAGGGGATATGATGTGAACATATTGTTGGCCACGTCGATGTGCACAATGCTCCTCAATCACCTCAAGATGTGATTTCATACTGGCGCTTAGATTTCCTGTTCCATGTTACGCGTCAACAATAGGAGGCCGCCTGTAAAAGACAAGCGGATTTGTCCAGTTGGTCCCTTCAAACGAGCCCACTAAAAAGGGTACCCTCAAAATGCAGCACGGCCATATCTTCCCCCACTCGAGACCACCGATTGCAGGCCCCACTCGCCATGTTCGCTACCTCGATGCTCGCTGTCGCGGCCAAGAAGTCACCTCCCAACAAGGCTAGGCGGGAACTGCGGGTGGCTTTTTTAGAGGGTACCCGCATGTTTGGTTTTAAAGGGAAACCCAGAGGACAACCACCCATGTTGGGGGTCCAAACAAAGAGTTATAGTCGAAATATTCACTTAACAGAATCAGAAAGCCATATGAGTTTCGGACCACTGATTTGCGCCAAGTACGTCCCCTCCCTGATTTCTTCATTGGTGCAAAAGGTTACGAACATGGTTGTTTGAGCTTTTCGTTTGAGACCCGGGGACCCCGCTGCAAAGCACGGGGGTAAGGTGATAGAGGGCAACAGAAACTGCAAGTGGTTCCTCTGGTGAATGGTCGCCGTGGGGTGGGCTCGTGGGCGAAGGGTGTGTGGGAGAGCAGGTTGCTTCGGGCGCTGGCGCTGGGCAGAAGACATTTTTGTTATGTAGGTGCCAGGAACACCTTGCTATTTGAAGCCCTGGTGTTTGGAGGGTGTTTTCGGGAAACCACCGGAACAACACCAAACCACCAATCCAAACCGATTAGAGGCAAGCTGACTTTCGGTGGCTGTCGCACAATGGAATGGACCGAATGGAAGCCTGAAGCTGATTGGCAAGCTAAACATGGCCAAACATGCGCAGCTTCCCCCAGACGGACACCAAAGGGGGGGGGGGCGATAGACCATGCGTGTTTTTTGTTGTTTTTTCCAGACTACCTCAGGAACATTTCACCCTCAGCCTCGGTCGAGCTGGACATACAAGCAATCAAGTGGTCACGCAAGAGTTCGTAAATCTAGGCTTCCCGGTTTGCGCATTTTCCGTGCTTGCCGAGGAATTGATGCTGGGACAGTCGTTTTCAAACTGGCTCCGAAAAGATCAATTTTGGTTCCCTTCCCAAAGGTGGTGGTTGATCCCTCTGGGAGGTATTCTGAACTTTTCCCAAGGTAATGTTCAATAGCACGACCCTACTGCGAATCACCACGGCTCCATAGCCGGGCCCAGACAAATACTCGCCGCTGCCTTTCACTTCGATGGATTTGTCTGCTGTCTACTGTTCCCTGTTGCCCTGTTGGTTTTAGGAATTGGTCAAGAACATCTTCTGCTGCACAGTGGCACCTTGAGCAAAACGGAGCCTTGACATGTCCATGAAGAATGTAATTCATTGGCGTTATCTGGATGCGTCGGGATGTGGTTTTCCAGAAAACAAAAACAAACAGTATGTGCCATTGGTACGGGCGCCCGATCTGCCATCAACACATACAACCATGTGTGATTGGTGCGTATGGTCTCCTCTTCGAGATGATATGATTCCCAGTCTTTCGGGGTACGGTGTTATTTCTCTATGACAAGGGAACGCAGAACACCTCGCAAAATTGCCAGTGTTTGTGATGGGTTTACTTGCTTTACATTCAGTTGGCGCCCGCCGCACCATCCCATTCAACTTTCCATGAGCGCTTGATCCGGCCAGGTGATGGTCGCTTATGGGCACCTCGTCTCAATCGACTCCACTCAAGCCACGTGCGTTGCTGAAAGCACGATGTGAGCATGTCACCAGGTCGGAACCTGTGTGTTTCACGTGTTTTGTTCTGACCAGCTTTGTGTTTGTGCTTTTGTTGTTGCCCCGTAGCAAAACAGTGTGCCCCTCCATGGCCACTTGGCTAAGCATATATTTTCTTTGTCCTAACAGGATTCAGCCGGTTGGGTAGACGACTTTTGGGTTTACCTCTGTTGATGTGAAGGGTCAGAAAATTGACCACGGAGCAGAGTGATTCATTGATGTATCTTCTTTCGCTGCAGAACCACTGGCGATTTGGAGGGTTTTTGCCCAAGCCAGTGCACCCGTTGTCATTGCCGACTCAAATGTCCCTGCGGCTAATTGGGCAACATATGAGGTCAAAATTAAACCACCACGGAACCGCAGGTTTTAGTTATTGTGTCTATTTACCAGGGTTCCATTGTACTAGTTACCTGTTTTGACAACCACGCCCATATACGTATCACTACAACAATTGAAACTTTCATAGGACTCTTTACGATCTCTGGGCCAAAGTTCTCGCAAATGGCTCTATCCCCTCCCTCTGTTGACCTGGGTTCAAAACAGACAAGTGTCGCACGATTCGAAAGGAGATCACACGCACCATGCCTGGCTGAGCCGGAGTGGTATGGAACGCCAGAGCTAGTTCCACCCTACTCTATCCCAAATTGGCTTTGAAGGACTTTCAGCTTGAAGCTAGCGTCCCGGACATCCCTGACATGGGGCTGCTGGGACCGAGCTCAATACCTCTCATTGCCTTCGTCTTTTGGGCCTGGGTACTCCTAGACGAACTTTGCACCCTGGCGTCTTGGCACTTAGATGTGATTTTTAATTGGATCGAAACTCTTCGTCGGCATAGAAAGCTGCCGGGCGGCTTACACCCTTGGCTCTTACTGCTGCAAGTGCCACAGGAGTGTCCACATCAGGCTTCCTGACGGCACCATTGAGGCAGTTGGAAGCTGTCCCTTCGTTTGCCACTCAGCAGGTCCTTCTGTTGAGGTTGCCCACAGTTGGTGGTTAGGATTGATGCGAACCGGGGATTTGAATGGGTCCCTGCTTGCGGGAAGAGGGCAAATGGGAAACCCAATCACAACCACCAATGCCAACCACCAACTAGGAGGACGCTGATCCATTGGGGCGGAGGTTTCCTGAATTGGTCCAAAGGCCAACCGAGCAATGTGTTCGATTTGTCCAGGCCCGCAATAAAATGCACTTTATGGAACAAACAATGTGTATCCTCGCTTCCAGAGTTCCTCGGCTTTACGCGTTTGGGGAAGACCGTAATGGTACCAAAAAAAACACAAAGTGTTTTT